TATGACCAGGCCTACGCCCCTCACAACAACTACCCCTGCGCAGAACCCGATCGGTGGGTAGCCATCGCCGTAGGTACTGAGGCAGAATGGCAAGCCTTTATCGGCGGTCTGGGGAATCCGCGATGGGCAACAGACTCCAGGTTTGAAACGTTGAAGCTACGCTTGGAAAACATCTCGGCTTTGGATGCCCTTGTTTCAGACTGGACTCGGCAGCACGCTGCTCAGAAAATTGTGGACTTATTGCAAAATCACGGCATTGCTGCCATGACGGTGATGAACATTGAAGACCAGTTCCTGGATCCGCATCTGCAAGAGCGACAGGCATACCTGGAAGTGGAACATCCCCACGTTGGCGTGGAATGGTTGTACGGGATGCCCTGGTTGCTGGGAGGTACTCCCGGAAGTATTCGTTCTCCCGCTCCGCTTCTTGGGCAGCATAACGATTACATTTTGGGGCAAGTACTGGGGTTGCCAGTCTCGAACTTGAGGCAGCTTGAGGCAGAAGAGGCAATATACTGAAGCCGCCGGATTGAGTCTATCAACGGCGGCGGCTTTCACTTTTGCAAAAGGGACACTCCCGCTCAGTTAATCTCGCAGTGGGGGCAAGACGCCGGTCAGCCATGGAATCAGGTCCCTTAAGACCTCAAAGGGAATCTCGTGACCCATGTTGTATTCCCGGTACTCCGGTTGGTAGCCCGCTTCCTCGAGAAAGGTTCGAGTCGCCCTGGCTGTATCCACCCCAATCTGCATATCCCGCGTACCGTGGGCAACAAATATCGGTTGGCTTCTGCCTTCCGGCAGTTTCGGGCGCAAAATCTCTGGTTCAAACACTGCCGCGCTCAATGCCACCAGCCCCGCGAAAACGTCGGGCTGGCCCAAACCACACCGATAGGTCATGGCTCCTCCCTGCGAGAAACCCAACAGCGCAACTCTACCTGGCGTAGTGTTCAACTTCTCAAAGATCTCTTCAATACAGTCTTTCAGCAAAGATTCTGAGCTTTGCCGGGCCTCTTCTACCTCCTCTGGACTGGCCACATTCTGGCGGGGCATCCAGCCATAACCTACATGTCCGCCGCCAAAGTCGAAGGACATTGGTGCGTTGGGACAGGCGTAAACGTAGCCCTTGTCCTCGATGGCCGGCGCCAAACTGGCCAGGTCCCCCATGTGCGCACCAAAGCCGTGAAGCATAATCACCAAAGGGTAGCTTATGGCCGGATCATAATCGTCGGGCGTAACCGTCAGGAACTTCAGGCTTCGGCCCTCGTGTTGTTCACCCTTCATCAGAGTTTCTCCTAAAGTATGGTGTTGCCGGCCTAATGCTAACATCCAGAGACTGGATGACCAAAATCTCCTCAGTCATAGCCCCTGCGGAATCCTTCTCGAAAGGGAGCAGCTATATTGGCTCCGAGAATCCGCGTCGCTTGCTGCAGTCCTTCTTCCGTGAACCGGAGATCTCTGGCCAGTATTTCCTCCTTGGAGACTGCGCCCAGCCTCAGCCGGTATTGAGCGAGGAACTGCCCTACCTCCGGGCCGCTTAGGCCCATGCGAGCTAAAATCCTGAACTCAGGCGTGGTGCGGACCAGGTTATATACTTCTTCAGGTTCCAAATCAGGGAAGTTGTCCAGCAACACCGAGACTCCAAAGTCTATCAGACGACAATCCGGTAGCGTTTCCCCATTAATATCCCCTCTATCCTTAATTATCAAATGAGAACGACCGTCGGGGTCAGAAACCGTGGCATCGTTGTAATAGACCTGCTTGGCATGCAGTTGAGCAAGCATAGACCCTAGTCTCTCCCCGATGCCGTACATTGCCTCTTCGGTGACGGCGTCCCCGGGCAGTTCAGTGAAGAATCTACCCGCTACCCATTTTTCCGACAGGAAACCGTCCAACGAAGGAAGCTGGTCTGGGCCAACCAGCATATCCCCGGCTAACTGTGCAATTGCATTCTCGCGATCGCTTTGCAACGGTTTGATAACTATTCCGTCTCGGTCGCCAAAGCGAAGAATAGCTACTCTTCCCCGGGTGCGGCCATCATAAACTATTTCCGGCCGTTCTCCATTCAGGTAAATTCGCCTATAGGTTGCAGGGAATAGGCCATAGAACGAATAACTGGATAGAAGAGGGTCCAACGAAAGTTTATTGAACAATTGACTATCGAACTCAATCTCGCCATCTTTTGCGGCCAAGCTCCAAAAGGCCGCCAGATGACCGGGACAGCTTCCCTGACGCACCGAGGCAGTTGCAGACTGCACTTCTTCATCGGAAAGCCTGCGCAGGCCAACTATGGTGGCTCGGAGGCAGGCAAGCTCATCACCATCGTAGGCAGTTGTCATACAACCCTAAGGACAATGCCTGTGCTGGCAAGCACTGTTAGGGCAATACCGGGGCTCCTCGCAGATGCCGACCATAACCCTTGCACGTGCGGCACCTAATATTGGGCCAGGGCGAACCCACCGTTCCCGTCCGTGCCTAGTCGCCATACTGACTCAACGGCGCTGATCTGCAAAGGACCGTAAATGTGGGGATACAACTCGCCGGAACGGCTTGCCTCCGTAACCAACGAATAGCTCAGCCTGTCGGAGTCCACCTCCAGGGCAAGCATATCGACGCGGTCGGCATATAGCCGTTGGGCAACTCGCGCAAGTTGGTCCTCATCCTTGGAGCAGTGGATGAAGCCTTCTTCGTTCAGGCTGTTGGGCCGCCACTCCTCGCTCAGATGAACAGCCTCCCAGTCAGCTTCAGAAATCAAGTGGAATATTCTTGCCATATTCTATCCCCAATTGGCCAATTTACTGTCTGCAGAATCAAATCCCCTACGTGGAAAAAGGTTAGCACACCGATTGGCAAAGCAAAACCGCCCCAAGTCATGGGGCGGTTCTGGTGAACACACAAACAGTAGGGGCAACAAACCCAAAACGCTGTTATTGAATACTATTTCTGCTCCGAAAGAAATGCGACCAGGGCTTCCACATCCGCGTCAGTCAAACCGGCTGTAATGGCGGTCAACATCAATCCAGGAGTAGCCCGCTCCACTCCTTCGGCAATAAATGCTTCCGGCTCCCTGATGGACTGAACCAAATACTCTTCCGCAGACACACCAGACTGTCGGTTGGCGGCATCTGTCCCAATATGGGACAGGTCTGGGCCCAGCAAGCCAATCGCTTCGGGAACACCCGCCACTGTGTGGCAGGTTACGCAAGGCGTCGCTGCGCCTTCACCGGCGCCGGTAATGAAAATCTGGCGACCCGCAACGCTTGCACCGCTAGGGGCAGGAGCCGGGGTTTCAGCAGCGGTGGTAGTTTCCGTGCCCTCGGGCTCCGTTGACGATGCTTCGGGTTCCGTGACCGCCACTCGCCCCACCTTGTCTTCCAGGCAGCCCCCCATTTCGTGATCCAAAGTGCAGGGCTTTGCATTGTCCTCCGCCCAAGCACGGGGTGAAGGAGTAAGGGTACCAAACAGCCCAACCAGCGCGAACACTACGGCAAAGCCCAAGGCCAAGCCACCCAAAAATATCCAGGTGAGTAGCCGGTTATCGAACTTCAGGTGCATGTAGAAGAAAATAACGGCGGCGAACTTGACGGCAGACAAAAGCGCCAGTGGCGCAATAGTCCAGCCTTGCCCTCGGAAGTCTTCGGGCAAAATAATCAAGAACTCTACAATAGTAATCGCAAACAGGCAAATTGCGATTATCACGTATTGCTTCAGAGTTGGGTGGCGGGATTCGTGAACCCCGGATCGCTGCTCATGCGCCGATTCTCCTTAAATCAGTCCCAGGAAACCCGTGATCGAGTGCGGAACCAGGGACGGGTCCCCAGCGGGACCAGTGTCGAATCCGCCGATCAGATAAAGCAATGTAAAGATGACTATCCAGACGATGTCAACGAAGTGCCAGTACAGACCCGCCAGTTCCACGTCCAGAGCAGTACGGGGCCCCAACCGCCCCTTCTTGGCGATCCAAGCCAAACCCAGCAACCATACAATTCCCAAGGTTACGTGAGCGCCGTGAAACCCGGTCAGAGTAAAGAAGGTAGAGCCAAACAGGTTCGTATCAATCCTCAGACCCTCGGCCCGGAACAAATTGAACTCGTATACCTGGAACCCAATGAATATGGCCCCAAGAAAAGCGGTCATCAGCAACCAGAATAATATGGCGCCCTGCCGGTCCTCATTGGTCGCCGCCAGTGCGCGAACCATGGCAAAGCTACTGCACAGCAGTACGAAAGTGCTGATAGTAGTAATCGGCACATCTATGATGTCCACCGGATAGGGGCCCACAAGGCTCTGCCCGCGGTACACCATGTAAGTGGCAATCAAAGACCCGAAAAAGAGGCAGTCCGAAGACAGGAACACCCACATCAACAATTTCCGGTGATTGATGCCGGTAGTGGTGTGCTCTTCCCCGTGTTCCGCTGCCGGAGCGTGGTGGCTGATTTCCGTTTGGTGGCCCAACTCTACCCCTCCTCGTAGTGTGGTTCAGCGGGATCTTCTACCGCCCCGCCGCAATAGGGGCAGAACCGGAAAGCCGTTGACAATTGGTTACCGCAGTTAGAGCAAAGCAGCCGGATCGTAAGCGCAGCCGCACCGGCGGGGCGTTCCATCACCGCCGTAGCGCCGTCTTCCATGGCATGGCCTTCTGCTCCTCCATGATGCTCACCGCCGGCATGCTCCTCGGCAGCAGGTTCATTGGCCCAGGCCACTATTCCGATGAAGCAGATAATTCCGCCGATGAAGGGGATCGGGAAACGTATATAGTCCCACCCAACATCAACCAGCATCCCACCTGCCAGAATCAGGACCCCTATGGCCGTAACCAATGGCCAATAAGAGGGACTAGGCATGTGAATGGTGCTGGGATCCACAGGCGCCTCGGGTCCCGTAACAGGGGTACCCTCAGCCTCGGCCCGACGCTTGACAATCCAATAATGATCCAAGCCCTCGACCTGTGGGATCTCCGCAAAATTGTAGGCTGGCGGTGGCGAAGCTATGCTCCACTCGAGGCCAGGCGCATCCCATGGATCGTGACCTGAATCAGGTTCCTTCCGCAGACTGATCATCAAATTAACGATAAAGAGCAGCGTACCAACGAACAGAACAAGGTATCCCAATGAAGCCAGCAGGTTTAAGCCATCCCAGCCGAATTCACTCGCATAGGTATATATGCGCCGAGGCATTCCGTTGAGGCCCAGATAATGCATCGGGAAAAAGGTAACATTCATGCCGATGAAGTAGAGCCAGAAGTGCAGCTTGCCCAAGCCTTCATGCAAAAGCTTGCCGGTAACCTTGGGGAACCAGTAGTAGACACCCGCGAAAATTCCAAACAGCGAGCCGCCAAAAAGTACGTAATGGATGTGCGCAACGATGTAATAAGTGTCCTGCTGCTGGTTGTCTGAAGGCGCCACAGCGTGGGAGACGCCGCTTAGGCCACCCACAATAAACAGCGCAACGAACCCCAGCGCAAATAACATTGCGGTCTTGAGGTCAATAGAGCCGCCCCACAGGGTCCCGATCCAGTTAAAGATCTTCACCCCCGTAGGCACTGCTATCAGCATGGTCGTAATCATGAACACGGACACAGCCACGGGCCCCAATCCCACCGTGAACATGTGGTGGCTCCAAACAGCCCATCCCATAATTCCGATCACTACGCCGGAAAAACCACCACCGGGTAGCCAAACAGCGGTTTCCTGGAGAAGGTCGGCAACACCTCAGAGACGATACCCATGGCTGGCAGAATCAGAATGTACACTTCAGGATGACCGAACACCCAGAAAAGGTGCTGCCACAAGATCGGGTCGCCGCCACCCTCAGGGACAAAGAAGTTGGTGCCAAAGTTGCGGTCGAATGTCAGTTCGATGAGCCCCACAGTAATCACTGGAAATGCCAGGACTAGCAATATCGACGTGACCAGGGTCATCCAGACGAACAGGGGCATTCGCATCAGGCTCATTCCGGGAGCCCGCATGTTTACTATCGTTACAATGAAATTAAAAGCCGCAGCCAATGAGGAAATGCCCAGCACCTGCAAGCCCAGGGCCCAGTAATCGAGTCCGGCATTTGCGCTAAATGGTTTCTCAGTCAGGTTGGCATATGAGAACCATCCGGCATCGGGAGCCTGGTTGGTCAGGAAACTGGCGTTCAACAGCAGACCGCCGAACAGGAACACCCAGTAACTGAACGCATTGAGGCGTGGGAATGCTACGTCTCTTGCGCCGATGGCCAGTGGTATAACGAAATTAAAGAAACTGGCGCTTAACGGCATGATCACCAGGAAGATCATGGTGGTCCCATGCATGGTGAACATCTGATTGAAAGTATCCGGGTTTATCAGCGTGTTATCTGGCACGGCCAACTGCAACCGGATGACCCCTGCCTCGATACCGCCAAGCAACAGGAATATAAAAGCCGTCGTTCCGTACAGGACGCCTATTCTCTTGTGGTCAACCGTCGTAATCCAGCTCCACAGCCCGGATTGACCGGCCGGCCTGGGAATTACATCGGCTATGGTCGCCATTTGACGCCTCCGCGGCTCCGTTCCACCCTACGCTAAGTCTTAAGTCAAAGTTTATTGTAAGCTAAGCAAGTATTCCAGCAAAGAGGAAATCTCTTCTTCGCTCAGGTTTGACCTTCCGTCGGCAGTTTGGTAAATAGCCGCTCTTTCTGACATGTAGTTACCCGGCTTGATGTCCTCCGGGTTCCTGAGCCATTGCCTCAGGTTTTGTCGATTCAGGTCTGCCAGACCGGCGCCGAATCGCTCACGGGTCGCCAGATCTGTTAGATTCGGTCCCGGTGCAATACCCGTATCGCTGGTCATGAAACCCTGGACCCGGCCGGCAACAACTTCCGGTGAGTCCGAACCGGTCGCAGTGTGGCAGACGACACAACCGCCTGTGCTGTTGAAAACCAACTGGCCCGCCTGTGCCTGTGCAGAAAGCACGGGCGCTTCACCAAATCCCTCTGCCCAGGCAAGATAGTCCTCCTGGGGCAACACCTGGACCAGGAACTTCATCTGGGCGTGAGCAGTTCCGCAGAATTCCGCGCACTGGCCGTAAAAGATCCCAGTTTCGTCAGCCTGGAACCACATATAATTTTCTCGAGTCGGGACCACGTCAACCTTGCCGGCGAGTTTCGGCACCCAGAAGCTGTGAATAACGTCATCGCTTCGCAGGTTTATCTGGATGGCCCGGTCTACTGGGATCCGCAGTTCGTTGGCCGTGGTTATCCGCTTGCCATTGCCATCGGCGTCTGGATACTCAAATTCCCACCACCACTGATGACCAACCGCAGTCACTTCAAGGGTATCGGCGCCCGGAGGAGGCTGATCCAATTCAAACAACGTAATAGTCGACCAAATACCCAGACCTAGAATAAGTACAGTCGGGATTATGGTCCAGGTAATTTCAAGGGCTGTATGGCCATGGGTCTGGGGCGGCAATTCCTCGTTGCCGGGGCGTCTGCGGAATTTAATGACGGCGTAAAGGAGCACACCCTCCACCAGGAGGAATACAACGACCATCACCCAGAGAAGAACATTAAAGAGAAGCAGTTGCTTTTCAGCGACCGGTCCGGCGGTACCAAAGGTCGACTGCTTGGCATCGGGAGCACAGGCCATCACAAGGAGTAAGATGGCCGCAATTCCCAAAAGGAGAAGGTGTTTACTTGAAAAGGGTATCCGTCTGGACATAAGTGTGGTTTTGCCTTTTTTATCCCTGGCCGACTCGGTCAGGGAATCTGCGCCGCGGAAGGGCAGAAGCCCCATTTGCTATCTCCCCTGTATTGCTTCACTGCCTACTTAACTGCGTAGTATGTGCAAAATTTCACTAATGCAAGACATTACCACAGGCGTATTATGGCTGTCAACGAAAATGAGGCTTGCCGAAAGCCAGTGCATAACGCCAACTCCCGAAGTTTATTGGCTGCCCTGAACGGGCCCTAATTCACCTTTGTTCAACCAATTCTGTCTAGTATCCCGTGGCCGCGCCCACCATTACTGCCACGAACAACAGCCCGAGATAAAGGAGGGAAAACAGGTACAGCTTTTTGGCATTGGCAGCGCTCTCGCTCTGCCGCAGCTGCCACGCCATCCAGACGAATATACCGCCAAGGACCAATGCAGAACCTGAATAAATCCAACTCACTGCGTCGGTCAAGGCGAACATCAGTGTCACGCCAACCATCACCAGCGAATAAAGGAATATGGTGGACACCGTAAAATCGCGCGACGCCACCACTGAAAGCATTGGGACGTTAGCCCGCTCGTAGTCTTTCTGGATTAGGAGTGACAGGGCCCAGAAGTGGGGTGGAGTCCAGAAGAAGACTAAGGCAAAGAGATACACTGCTGGCAGTTCCACCGTACCGGTAACCGCCGCCCAGCCCACCATAGGAGGGATAGCCCCGGCAGCCCCGCCTATCACTATGTTGTGGGGCGTGCTCCGTTTCAGCCAACGGGTATAGACGAGCACATAGAAAAGGGTTGCGGCCAGGGTCAGCACCGCCGCAAGCCAATTGACCCACACTGTCAGGACAGCAAATGCCAATACGTTGAGAGTTATCCCAAAAATCAGGGCTTTCGCTGGAGAAATACGGTTGCTAGCTACCGGTCGCTGCCGAGTTCGCTGCATCACCCCGTCTATGTCCCGGTCGTAATGGTGGTTAAGGGCATTGGCTCCCCCCGACGCCATTGCCCCTCCCAGCCAGACCAGCGCCATCAAGCCTAACGACGGCAAACCGCCGGCTGCCGACTGCGCCTGGGCAAGAAACATCCCGCCGGCAGCGGTAACCAGCAAAAGCAGGATAATGGGGGGTTTGGTGAGGGTTATGTAGTCATTTATAGCAGCCAACCACGGGTGGGTTGATTTCCCTCCTGCTGGCTTGTCGCCAGCCTCTTTCAAGTCGGGCAATTCCGCCGGCGAATCCTGCTCGGTAGTTGTCATCAGATGGCTGCTCCCCGCCTGGAAATTCTAGGTATCCAGGCTGGTTGTAGAATTCTGGACTTCATCAACAGTTAAGCCACGTCGCAAAACAATGTCCTGCTCGGCGGGTTCGCTTCTGCTCAACAATGCCACGGCGGCCATTAACCCCCAAACAGCAGTGGCCAGACCAATATGATACGCCCGAAGCAAAACCGGGAAATTTGACCAGATGGCCGCCGCTCCGATAATCACCTGGGTCAAAAGCAACGCTCCTCCGAAGGAAGCGATGAACAATATCCATAGGCCTCCGGAGGACAGCCGCGCCATCCCGTACCGAAACGCGCGGAACATGGTGTACAAAATCAGGACACCGATAAGTGCGGCAACTACACGATGGAGCATGTGAACCAATTCCAGGTTTGTTGAAGGCCAGAGAGAACCTGAACCATCGCACAAGGGCCAGTGGGAACAGGCGGCCAAGGCGCCAGTTGTAGCGGTAACGTATGCCCCCGACAAAAGCAGAAAATAAGTGGCAATTGCTGTAAAGACCGCCAGCCGCGGAAATGTGTCCGGTCTCTCGGCTTTCCCCTTGTCAGATCCCGCATCGGATTCCATTGATGACATTTGAGTGGCTTGCAGCACTTCCGACTCTACAGGCGGGGATCTGTCGGAATCCTTTACTCGATAGGCAGAGACCGTCAACCAAATTAAACAGCCCAGCAGCGCCTGGGCCAATGCCAGGTGCGCGGCCACCACATGTCCGGGCAATTCGGTGAGCACCGTGACTCCACCCAGACCTCCCTGGGCCAGCAGGAATACAACAGCCACCGAGGAAGGCATTATCACTGAGGGAATGCGCCGGTAACGGAAAACCGCAACCAGGAAAGTAGCCACAATCAGGGGGCCTACAATGGCGGAGGCCACCAGACGGTGGCTATACTCGATAATATCTTCCTTAGTCAGCGGTGGAATCAGGCTGCCGTCGCAGAGAGGCCACTCGCCGCCGCAGCCCAGCCCCGAACCGGTAACACGGACAACGCCGCCAAGTACGATCAGGGCAAAAGTGGCTAATACTGACGCCAGGGCGAGGCGCCTCAGCCAGCGATGTCTTTCATTTAATTCGGCCCTAAGCACAAGGTACTCGTTGGTAAAGAGAGTAGTTCTTCCGGGACTGCCCTGCTCGTCCGAACTGGCTCCCGGTTCCATTGCGGCCATAGGGCGTCGTCAATCCAATTCAAGAGATTGTGATATAATTCTCAATGTTAACATGTCAGCGGCGATTCGGGTAGAAGGTCTGGTAAAACGCTACGGCTCCTTTACGGCGGTGAATGACATTTCATTCGACGTTAAAGAAGGCGAAATTTTTGGCATATTGGGCCCAAACGGTGCCGGCAAGACAACCACTCTCGAGATAATCGAAGGCCTGCAAAAACCAACCGCCGGAAATGTAAACGTCCTGGGCGGCGATGTTCTGAGGGAAGCTAACCGGATTAAATCCCGCATTGGTATCCAGCTACAGGCCTCTGCTTACTTCAATTACCTCTCTCTCCTGGAAATCCTGCGGCTCCTGGCGAGCTTCTACCCCAAGAGCGCTAACGCTAACGAACTTCTCAATGTGGTGGGGTTGGAAGACAAAGGGAAGAGCCGCATTGACCAACTCTCCATCGGCCAAAGGCAGCGTTTCACCGTGGCGGCCAGCCTGATCAATGATCCGGAACTGGTCATACTAGATGAACCTACTACCGGGCTGGACCCGCAAGCCCGTCACAACCTGTGGGATCTTATCCGCGACATCAACCACCGAAAAGTTACCGTTGTCCTGACCACCCATTACATGGAAGAAGCGGAGTCACTGTGCCAGCGATTGGCCATAATGGACCAGGGGAGGATTATTGCCATTGACTCTCCCTCCAACCTGATCAGCCAGATTGAAACAACCTACACTATAAAACTAGTAACATCGAACCCCCTCACCGTGAAACAACAGAGCACTCTTCAAAAGGGAGCGACCTTTCAGGAAGTGGAGATAGATCCCGACAGTCAGCCGCTGGCAGGCAATCCCTACGTTCTTCGACTGGACAAGACTTCGGAAGCCCTCAATGACACCCTGGATGGGATAGTCAGCAGCGGGATTTCCCTGAAACACCTTGAGATACTCCCCGCCACCCTTGAGGACGTGTTCCTGGAACTCACCGGCAACGAATTGCGGGAGTAAGCATGCTGCCCCTCACCATAGCTAATCTGAAAATGCTGGGGCGTAACCGCCAGACCGTGTTTTGGGCTCTCTTCTTTCCGCTCATTTTGGTGGTAGTTTTTGGACTGTTTGACTTCACGTCCGCATCATTATCTGACATCGCGGTAATTGACCAGGCAAACTCGCCGGCGTCCAAGCAGCTTGTTTCTGCCCTGGGTGATATCGAACTCCTCAGCCTCAATCCTTCTCCCGCTGACACGGATTCAGGGCGCCGAATGATCGCGGATGGCGACCTGGACTACCTTATCGTGGTGCCCCAGGGTTTTGCTGCGCCAGGCGATGCTCCGTTAGACCCAACGGAACACATGGCACCGGTCACCCTGGTGCTCAGCACTTCCGATGAAGAACGAAACCAACTGCTGCTGGGAATTCTGAGCGAGATAGCAGATGAAGCTGTCTTGGGAATTCCCGTAGTCGAGAAACCGGAAACGCTGGTTACGGAGCGAATAACTACCCGGCAAGTGCCCTACTTTGACCTGGTGCTGTTCGGACTGGTAGGCATGGGAATTATGACACACGCGATTATTTCCATAGCCGCAAGGATAAGTAACTATCGGAATCTTTCGATCCTCAAGCGAATGCTCGCTACCCCGTTGCCTATTTGGAAGTTCTTTGCTGCCGAGGTTACCGCCCAGCTGGTCCTGGCGCTATTGCAAGCGGCGGTCATCCTCGCAGTGGGCGTGTTTGTGTTCAGGGCCCAGTTAAACGGCAATATCCTGCATCTGCTGCCACCGCTGATTCTGGGGGGACTGGTATTCCTGAACATCGGGTTCATAGTCTCTGCGTACGCCAACTCACCTACCTCGGCGTCGGGAATGGGAAACGCAATTGCCTTTCCCATGATGTTCTTTGCTGGGACATTCTTTTCGACATCCAGCCTGCCCTGGCTGTTCCCATACCTGGCAGATGCCCTGCCTCTGGCTCCCATGCTTACGGCTCTCCGTGAAATTGGCATCCACGGAGCCACAATATGGGAAGTATGGCCGGAGATGGCTGCCCTGGCTGGCTGGGTAGCGGCTACTTCTCTGGTAGCCATCAAAGTTTTCCGATTCAGCTAACGACCCCACAACGCCCCGTGGCCGCCGTGTCGCTTTGCTATCTAGCCAGGCCCCTAAAGGAAATGAGTTGGGTTTTCCGCATAGCCATTTTGACTTTAATCGTTGCCTTGCCATTGGTAGCCCTTGGCTGCGAAGCCAAGGGGACGGCACAAGTGCGGGGACAAGTGGTGGAAGTCGTAGGGAGAAATTTTTCTGAACTGGAGACACTGCGCATTCGCGATGAAGAGGGACGCGAGTTTATCTTTGAGACCGAGGGATTCGTCGGGTTCACACCTTCCCACGTTAAGGAGCACCAATTTCTGGGCCAGTCTTTGCTGATAACTTATGTAGAGAAGGGAGACCGCCTCATAGCAGTTAGCCTGGAGGATTGACCACCACCAACCCTACAGGGTCTCTTTCAGTGCTGCCTCCAGCACCTCTTCGGGAGTGAACTGTTCGAACTTGGCACTTATCAGTCCCTCACTATCTACTATGAAGGTCCACGGCTCTGTGGGTAGACCCCATTCGGCCACCGCGGGCACCTGTTTCGCTGTGAAACGGTCACCCTGGATCAAGTGCGGATCTTCAAAGACCTCTACGTGAATGAAGTTCGCCCGGTCCCCGTATCGCTCCTTCAATTGTCCAAGGATTTCCAACTGGGGCCCGCAGGTGGCACTCACGCAGAAGGCTGGCGTAGAAAAGACGACCATCAGGGGTATACCACCATCCAATGCCTCGTGAACGGATAACCGGTACAACTCCGGGTCAGGGCTGGGCGCGCTGGTTATGTGGGAAATCTCCGGTGCATCCACTGCTACCGGGGTTACGCTTCTAGGCGCCGGAGAGCCAATTGACGGAGTGGCAGGAGACTCCGCGACGCGTACCGCGGTAACCGCTTGCACCTCCGCCCCGTTTGCAGCAGTGGCATTTATCCCAAGTTCCCAGAGGCCGGGACTCTCCCGCGTGGCATCCCCGGCAACTTCAAAGTCGATGGCGGTAACAAAGACTCCGCGATTACTTCCTTCAGGTGGCCAGGGCAGAAAGGTTGCCGTGAACACCCCTCTTGGCTGAGGTTCCGAAGCTCCGGGAGGGGTGTACATTGCCGACACTACGGCCTGCTCGGCATACACTGGGACATTATCCCGGTTAACAAGAGTGAAAACCAGACGGTTGAGCCCCTTAGCCAGGTCGGAGCTGACGACCAAAGCACTGTATTCCGGCCCGCCCAAATTTGGCGCCGGCTCCCCTCCCGACCTGGGAGAAAAACATGCAACGGCACCCAGCGTTAATACCACCAACGCCACAAGTCCCACACCTCGAATACCAATGGGCCATGCTGCAGGGGCTTTCCAAGATGATTTTGCGTTGTTATTCATTAGAAGGTGTTTTCGGAAAAAGCAAGACGGGGCTTTTCATCCCCGCGTGTAATGAGCACTGCGCAGGGGAGGCAAGTGGCCTGCTGGGATTGCAATCCTTGAAATTTCGATGGGCCCTGGGTCACGGACGAGACCGGGACCGTGTCAGCTATGCTTCCAGTTTGACGCACTGGGCAATCAGGTGGTCCATTCGCTGCTCAATCTCCAGACCTGTGACTATCTGGGCGATGCTTTCCAGATTGTCCTTCGGCCAAGGCATGTCATCGAATAGCGGGCGCACTCGTCGCAGTTCGGTGGCCAGATTCCACTCCAGTTCATTGCCCTGGTATTCACCCTGGTATTCGGTGCCGCCAGACAGCGTCACGGTGATGCGGGGCGCAAAAGCCCGGCGGTCCCGGTGGCCGACAACATCTACCTTCTTCATCAATTCAAGAACTGTAGCATTTTCTTCGCCAGACTGGTCCCCGGGGTCAATCCGAGTCCGCAGCGGGGGATAGTTGCCATTGACGCAGGTATAGGCGGTGAAGTAATGGGTGCTGCCAACGGCCGGGGCGTCAGCACTCCGCGTCGGGTTGGGGAAGGCCGGAGACGGATAGGTAGTTTCCAGCCAGTTCATGTCTACGGTAATCTTCTCTATTTCTTCAACAGGCAGGTTATGAGCCGCCCTTATGTCCGACATCAGTTCAATGACCGGGCAGTTGTAACCTGCGGTGGGATAGAGCTTGGGCGTAACGTGAAGCAACTCCCACCTGTCTCCTAACCCCGCTACTACACTATCCAACGCTACGTGGTCAGGACCGGCGAAAACATAGGACAGATCTCCTCGGTTGTTGCCCGTAAAGGCGTTGTAAAACCCTGCGGCTCCCTCCAGCGCAGTCTCGGAACCCCGTACGTGCTCCCTGGCCAGCAGGGCTGCCATTATGCCGTTTCGCGTGGCATTTGGCTCGTGGAACAGCATCTCCCGGCCACCGGAACGCGCTCCTTCCGTGGTCCCTCCAGCGAAAGTGCAGGCCAAGGCAACAGTAGTTACCAATTGGTCCTCGTTCAAACGCAGCAGCTTGCCAGTGGTGATCGCGGCGCCAATGATTCCGTACACTGGGCTTGACCGAAACCCTCGTGCCTGAGTAGAAGGTATGTAGTCACCAGCGATACGCGCTTCCACCTCATAACCGGCGGCGATGGCCGTTATCAATTCTCTTCCAGCACGCCTCTCAATCTGCGCCGTCGCCAGGGCTGCGGGAATGACACAGGGGCCGGGGTGAAGAAGCATTCGGTAAGAGTCAGACTGATTAGTTGCGTGCATCAACTTGCTGTTGGCAAAGGCCGCCCCACACCGAGTTGCCCTGGCTCCATCCACCAGGATAGTTGCGCCCTCGGCCATAGCCTCTTCCATCTTTATCAGTTCAATGGATGCCTTGCCGTGGGCCGTTTCAGCACCAAGGAAAGTGCCGATTAAGGAGTGCAGCAGGGAGGTCTTTACTTTGTCCGGCACCTCTGGCGGAAGATTGTCAAACTGCAAAGCATCAACAAACCGTGCCAGGGTGCGACTGAGGGAATCTGCCATTGTTTCGTGTCCTTTGTTAGTCCGCTATTTTATGTTTTGGGCAAAGTCAAGCCAGGCCCGTGCACATGGTACCGGCAGAACGTGCTGGACGAAACCCGACACTCCGGGAAACACTACCCGCCGCCCATTCGGGAACAAAGTTGCTGCATCCCTGAAGTCCCCCAGCACCTCTTCTCGCAGACTGGCAGCCGCGAGAATGAGCGTTGGAGTCTGGACTTCGGGAAGCAGGGGTCTCAAATCGCCGGCGGCGTTACGCTGGAAACCTCCCACTACATGGGCCGGTGTCGCCTCCATTTGGCCAGCGTACCAGCGAGTATATTCTGGGGGAACAATCTGCGGATCCAGGCGCCGGCCAATTGTGTTTTCCACCCAGGCAGCCACACCTTCACGCTCAATCAGGTCAGCGCTCTCTGCATGGTGGGGGTCGTCAAAGCTGGTAGGTGAGGTGCAAGCGGCCAAAGTGTGCAGGCGTTCCTGGTGCAAAGTTGCAAACCGCATGGAGATAGAGCCACCAACCGTTTCACCGATAAGGTGGAATTTGTCCAGTCCCAGCCCGTCAACCAACCCTAGAAGGTCACCGGCAAAATTGTCGACCGACCAGGGGTAACCAGGCTCCGGCACCGACGACTGTCCCATCCCGCGCATGTCAAAACGAACTACCCGATAGTGTCTGGCAATAATGGGAATCCAGGCGTACCAAAGCTTGTGGTTCTTCGCCATTCCATGATGAAGGACAACGGTTTCCGCTTCCTCCCAAGGGTCAGTAAAGTCGTCCACTTTGCAGAAAAGCTGGCAACCGTCATCCAATGTCAAGTACATTTGTCGCTCCCTCTAATGGTTGAGGGTAAAGTCGGTCCATTGTTAGCTGGCCCGTGCCGCGATTCCCTCTTCGTTGAACACTGAACGGGCGATACGCATGGCGGTCCGGGTATTGAAATAGCCCCCATAAAGGGTCAACTGGATAAACACTTCCATAATTTCTTCGGGAGTCATACCTACTCGGAGGGCGCCGGATATCCTTCGCCGCAATTGACGGTCGTATTGGCCCATTACTGTCATAGAGACCAGGGCACACATTGAACGGGCCTTGGCATCCAAATGGGGACGTGTAAAGATAGCGCCCCAATTGTATTCATTGATCAGCCTCTCGAGCTGCATCTCCTGAGAGTCAGGATCTTCAGTATGGTAAATAGTGATGTCCCCCATGTGTTCTTCGTGGCACTGGACACCTTCCTGGTGGAGGGCGTCGGGGTCCTTTTCAGTGTCGTAGGCCAAGGTAGGCGTGAATTGAAGTCCCCTTTCTTCAAAGATCTCCTTGCCTATCGCCATGGCAGATTCGACTGCGGGAACCCCCACGTAAAATGTCATCTGAATGAAGCACTCGACCACCTCTTCGGGAGTCAAACCCACGTTTAATGCCCGTTCGACGTGTCTCCGGAGCAAATGCAGATGACCCAAAGTCAGGAGGGCCGAAAGGGTGCACAAACAGCGTTGCTTTATATCTAGCCCACCCCGAGTCCATATGGACCCGAACAGGGCTTCGTCCACGATGCGCTTGAGGTCCGGGGCCAGTTGATCAATGCCCGGCAGCGTAAAGTGGCGGAAGTCCCCTGCCGCCATCTGTTCTCGCATTTCCAGACCTCGGTAATACCGTTCGTCCAGTGAGGCCATACCTTCTCCTTGTGTTCGTTTGGGCTTCAGTCTGTCCCGAAACCCGGAAAATTACTCGACATATTCTATATCGCAATGCAGGTCGGTCAATAGCCCTGGCCCGGAGTTTCCAGAATAAGCACGCCGATTCAAGTTTCGCTAAATCCCTGATGAATTGATTCAGCCTTGGGACATGACCTCTTCCGCAAACCAGTCCAGGCGTTCGAGGGACCTGTTAAGGTCTTCTCCCCGGATGTCGAAGATAATGCAGCCCACTCCTGCATCCTGATAAGTCTGGATGTCCTGAAGCATTTGCTCGGGTTCGCCCGAGAAGCGGCGGCGCGTCACGCCTGAGGGACTGGAATTCACGTCGTACAGGGGAGCTTTCATCGAGACTTCAAGTTCACCGGGGTCGCGGTCCGCTTCCTCCGCGTACCGGTGCAGCTCAGAAATGTTCTGTGCCAGTTCCTCTGGTTCCAGCGGCGCCGCTGGAATAGCGCCCACTGGATGCCACCCATCTCCCAGCCTGGCGGCCCGACGCATGGCAGCACGGCTTTGGCCGCCTACCCAAATTGGCGGATGTGGTTCCTGCACGGGCTTGGGCAGGAAATGAATGTCGGAGAAACGGCAGTACTTGCCTTCAAAGGTGGGGTTGTCACTGGTCCACAACTCCTTAAAAGCTAGCAGGTATTCGTTGGTCACAGCTCCCCGCTCGGCGAAGGGGGGAGCATCCAGCGCCTCAAACTCCTCCTCCATCCAGCCGACACCCACGCCCACCGTCAACCGGCCCTGGGACAAGACGTCCATAGTGGCCAGTATCTTGGCCGCCAGCAGCGGATTTCGGTAGGGAACTATCATAACGCTGGGTACCAGCCGAATATTGCTGGTGATCCCGGCCAGATAGGTTAGCAAAGTCAATTGTTCCATGTACTCGACGGCAGCACCGCCATGGAAACGCCCGTCGGCAGTGTAGGGATAAGGGGAGTTGACCTCCCTGGGCACCAGGATGTGGTCGCCGGCTACCATGCAATAGAACCCAAGTTCGTCGCCTTTCCTGGCTATGGCCGCCAGAGGCTCCGGTCTAGCTGTAGGGCCGCTGCTGGGCAAGTAAAATCCGAACTGCATTCTGGGCCTCCGGGTCTGCTGTTGCCTAACTATAATCCGATAAGCCTAGGGTGTCTATTGGGAAACCTTTGGCCCCCAAACCAGGGCACCAGAGGAAGATAAAGTCGAAATAACAATGCCCAGCCTCTATTGGAGGCTGGGCCGTGCATAAGCCAACCATCTGGCAAATACGATGGTAGGTTAAGTATCGGTGGAGCTGATTTCAAAGTGCTTAACCCAGTATTCACCCCGATAGAGATGCTCCATTTCACGGGCAACGTTCTGCCGGAACGCACCGACCTCGTAGGCCCGCAGGTCATCCAGGGTTTCCCATATGCTGACGCTGATACCCTCGTCCGGATCTTCAGTGCCTCGGAGCAACTGTCTTTCTTTCAAACCCTGGATATTGCCAGCGGAGCTCGCCAGCCTTTCGTGATAATGCCGCTCATATTCTTCCCAACTACCGGGGCGCAGCTTACCCCAAACCATTCTGATGAACATGGATGCTTCTCCTGCCATACGGCGATTTTATACCCGGCCTTACGTTTTATACCCGGCCTTACGATGGGTTACCCACATATCATAACACCCAGTACAGTTGCTTTGGGAAATCCTTGGGATGAATGTTTATGAAGAAACTGGTGATTCCCCAGGGTTCTTGAGCAGCGGTCATTCTTGGAAAGATGTGACCGACTCGGAACAAGGGTCACGCCAAGACCCGGTAACGATAGCGGGACTCTATCAGGTCTCCTTCCTCAAATCGGCTGAACCGCAGCGGCGCCAAATCAACTGAAGAAGCCTGCCCGTCGAGGACCAGTTCCGCCATGGACTGTCCTATGGCAGGCGCGAGTTTGAAGCCGTGGCCACTGAACCCCACCATGCAGTAGAGACCGTCAATACCCGGCACCTTGTCAAGAATTGGATGCCAGTCGGGGGTAGTGGTAAATATCCCAGACCAGCCACCGCGATAGTATGAATCTTCATCGCTGGCATACGTCGAATGAGCCTGGTCATGGCGCTGGCGGCGTCGGAGTGGTCGAAGCCCTCGTCATAGTTGTCCAGTTCAACTTCATCTTCGCCGAAGCCCACCATCGTCAGGGTGGGGCTCTCCGGCCGGAAGGAGAACGATTGGGCAATATCCCCAACTATAGGATGATGAGGAAGGCGGTCGGCAGGACGAGTAGCAAGAGCTACCTGGTGGCGTACCGGGACCAGGGGAAATTCGATACCGGTACCGGCCATCAAATCGTTGGACCAGGGCCCGGCAGCCACAACTGCCAATGGGGTGGACACTCTACCTTGTTCCGTGTGTACGGCCTGCACCCGGCCCCCGGCAATTTCAATCCCGGTGGCACCGGCACGCATTACAATCTCAGCTCCGAGTTCCCTCGCCTTGGTGGCGAAGGAAGTAGTAACCAGATAAGGATTGGCGTATCCGGAATCAGGCTCCCATGCCAACCCTTCTCCCTCGTAGGTCTGCATCATCGGGGCCAACTCTCGCAGTTCCGCCGCGTTCACAAGGCGCACATTTATTCCTAGTTCCTGCTGCATCGCAATATTCAATTCCAGGCTGGGACGGTCGATATCCTCCACCACCACGAGATAACCTGTCCTGATGAATCCGGAGTCGCCTCCGACCTGCTCCCCGAAGCTGGAATATACCTGGAGACTGTTCCAGGCCATGGAGGCAGTAACTGGATTAGAGTAGTGCATTCTGCAAATGGCCTGGGAACGACCGGTGGACCCAGCCCCCAGCACATTTTTTTCCAAAAGCAGGGTTCGGGTAGTTCCGCGGCGAGCCAAGTGGTAGAGCAGGCTGCACCCCATTACACCACCGCCAATAATCACTGCATCGGCGGTATCTCTCATCATTTCTGTACCTCCTGTTTACCGGTGGTTCAACTTTGCGGCGGCATAAGGCAAAGCAACAAGAACGCCGGGTTCGTGTCTGCCCTTAAGCCAAAAAAACGACAACCCCCGGCTAATACCGGGGGTTGCTGTGTAGCAATGCCTGCTAGCCTTGCTGATAGCGACAGAATCTAGCGGTAGTTGCTTTCCCGCATCGAACTAAAGCAATCGCTGCAATATACCGGACGGTCACCTCTGGGCCGGAAAGGAACCATGGTGTCCACGCCACACTGGGCGCAAACCGCCGGGTGCATCTCCCGGGGTCCGCCTTCAAAAGACCGCTGGGTCTTCCGGGACTGGCGACAATCCGGGCAACGCCTGGGTTCGTTGGTAAATCCGCGGGAATTGAAGAACTCCTGCTCTCCAACGGTAAATGTGAAGTCTGCTGCGCATTCCACGCAACTTAGTGTTTTATCTGACAGCGCCAACTGCCGACCTCCGTGTGAAAAGATTTGGCCTGGTCGAGGTCACCCGGCGTCAGCGCAACTGAGGCAACTACCCACGGGAAACAACCTTAACGCATTCCATAAGCGATTATAACAGATAATATTGCGGTATGGAATGATGTGCCATGTACAAAATCGGACAATTCTGCCTTCCTAGCCTGGCGTACGCAAATATTCGAAGCTTTTACCACTAGAGACCTACTGGACTCGCCAAAACTGACAACTGACATCAACGGAAACAGACGCGCACTGCTGTGATAACTCAATTAAAGACCCGGCGACAACTGGCGGGTGGCCATTCCCTTGTCCAATATAAGCAGGTCGCTCGTGTTTTCGCCGATCATCTTCAACTGCGCGATGATATCTGAGGCGGTTTTTTCCTCTTCGATCTGTTCGGTGATAAAGGCTTGAAGATGCACCTGGGTCTGGTAATCACGCTCTCCGGTCGCAAGCTCATAGAGTTGGTTGATGAGCTTGGTAACTTGTCGCTCGTGACCCAGGGTGGTTTCCATTACTCCCAGTATGGAGTCAAACTCCACCGCCGGTTGATCTATGGGAAACAGGGTCACCCGACCCTGTCGGGCCTGGACAAAGTCAAGGAGATTCATGGCATGAGCGTATTCTTCCTGACTCTGGATGCGCATCCAATGGGAAAATCCAGGCAAGTCCATGGAGTCGCAGTAGGCTGACATGGAAAGGTACAAGTAAGAGGCGTAAAATTCTTCGTTAATGTGTCGATTCAAAGCTTCTTGTATTGTGTTGTTTAAGGCCATCTGTGGTTCTCCGTTCTCCTGCCTTTAGTATGGAAATATTATACTCATATTTGGGTCGACGGCGTCGGTATTCGACGGCGACCTGCGACCTGTTTGAGACTCTGATCGAATGACCAACTGCTTCCGTTTCCGGCAGTATGGACTTGCCAACCACAGGCGGGTATATTAGGTTCGGATCGCAAAGGGCCCGAATGAATTCATGCGGCCACTGGAAAACCCCAAAATTGACCGTAAAACCGGTAAAGAAACTTAGGAGGAACCCTTGAAGATCGTAAAACTCAGTACCGTACCCACCGAGGCAGCAACTAGCGCGCTTTTCACCGGCGACGTTACCCGCCAGGCTCCTTTCACGGCCGATGACAGCAACAACTTCAACTTCGGCGTAGTCAGCTTCAGCGCACATTCTAGGAACAAGTTTCACAAGCACAGCGGCGACCAGATCCTGATCGTCACCGAGGGCACTGGCACCGTGGCCACCGACGACGAGGAAGTCGAGGTCACTGCGGGCGACGTCGTTATCGTACCGGCCGGCGAGAACCACTGGCACGGTGCCCCAGGCGATACCGCCATGGCTCACATTACCGTTACGGTTAAGGGCAGCCAGACCGAGCAGACCGAGGCGTAACTTCCCTCTTGCCCACCCTATCAAAATAACGGGCCCCGGCGCTCATTTCGCGCCGGGGCCCGCTGGTTTTACTACTCTTAATAACAAGATGGTTCAGTAACTATTACGGCGAACTAAGCTTCACTCCCATTCGCCCGCTCACGAACGTAACCGGCCAACTGACTGATAGTTTCTGTAAAAGTCCTGTCACGGTCTCGGGTTTCCGGGAGTTCCTCGCCAAGCGGAGTGCCGCCCATAAAACGGTACATTTCGGCGACTCCCTCAAACAGGTGAGGCGTCATCCCCAAGTGAGCGAAGGTGTCCCGGATCTCCTCCATCTCGCTGACCCAGCGCCGGGAACGGGGTGGCACCGTCGGAATGGTACGCTCCATCCGTTGCAGCACACTGGACTGGCCTGACTGGAACTCTTCCAACAGCGGTTCGGTCAATCCCATCAACTCGGCGGCCATGAGCAACTCGCTATACAGAGCCCAGGAACCCTTGGTCATCGCGGCATAACACATCTTGATGCCGGAGGCTTTCCCAACCTCGCCATCCAGCTTAATAACGGTCAATCCATAGTCGCTTAGTTGCTCGAACTCGGAGGCCTGCTGACCTGAAGTGTAAAAATGAGGGCTGTATCCCGGCCTGGGAGGTCCTCCAATTATCGATACGTCAACAAACCTGCCACCTGCGTCAGTGATAATCGGCTCCATTTCCCTGGTTAGTTGAGGAGCAATGGCGTTACATTCAGCGAAAAGAGTGTCGGTTCCGGTGGCGTTTATTGCGCTGGCTACCTCCCGGCACAGGCTGGGCACAGCCGCCGACACGGTCATGGACATTATCAGGTCAGACTGCGCGACCAGCTCCTCCATGGTTGCCACGTCGCGAATGCCTGCCTTGTCGGACAGGGCCCTCGTGCGGTCACTGCGGCCGGCAAGGCACGTTATTACGTCAAGTTCATTTTCCCGCAATCTTTGACCAACGGCATGGCCCATATCGCCGGGACTCAAGATTGCTACGGTGTTAATCTCCATGTAGGGAATCTCCAAATATAGGTATAGTGCCGCAAGATTATAGCACGGCCAACTTTATGTCACGTTGTTGGCCTGGGCTCTAACCAGCGAGTTCCCTGGCCGTTATAATTGACCAAAACCCTTCTTCCTCAAAATTGCAATTCTTCAATGTGGTTATAGGACACTAGTGCAAATATTTGAAAATCATCAAGCGCACAGGGTAGGTGAGGTGATCGGGTGTGATTCCCGAATGCTTACCGCCCAGTGTTACGAACTGTATAGCGCCCCTCCCTTGGGGTCCCTGGTTCACGCCGGCGAACCGGCCGTATTTGCCGTGGTTCAGCTAATTCGCACCGAACCATTGGATCCCAGCAGGCCCGTACTGGCTCGCGGGCAGGAAGCCGGTTCGCTGGCCGAGATTTACCGAGACAATCCTCAGGTAGAGCGTCTGCTGACCACCCGTTTTGACGCGCTCATAGTGGGCCACCGGCGAGACGATCAGATTATTCAACTGCTGCCGCCGGCTCCCCCTCCTATTCATTCCTTTGTTAGCGCTTGCTTGCCGGATGAGGTAACTGAGTTCACCCACGACCTTGATTTTCTGCGCTTCCTGATCAATTCGGGGCCACCTATGGCCGACGAGGTTGTGGTCGCCTGCCTGCGAGAGGCGGCAGCCCGCCGGTCAGATGGTGATGATTTTATTGTACGGGCCGGTCGCGCTATGGCAACCGAAATCCACGCTGATGTTTCACGGTTAGGCTCCATCTTGCGGAGAGTCAGGACATGATCAACGGCCTACCTGTCAACGGGCACAATAGCGACGAACTCCCAGGGAACGACACATCGCTCGGCGTTGTAGTAGGAGGTTCGCTGACCCACGGCGTGGAAATTCGCCTGCACGCCTCGGGGGACACCCTTATCGAAGACGTTAAGGCCGGTACCTTTGTTACGATCCGGGGCAAACGGTACCGTTTCTTCGGAGTCGTCACCGAACTGGAGTTGAACAGTTCCGACTCCCGTCTGCGCCACGTGCCCCCCGACTCCGACGATATTGTCCTGGCCGAAGCCATAACCGGGACCATGGCCTATGGCGTGGTTTCGGCCTTGCCCAGTTTGACACTGCCCCTGCTGGCCGGAGAAAAGGACAGCCCGGTGGCGGCCAAGACCGTCCCTTCTCATTTCTCCCAGGCATTCCCCGCCTCCCAGGAGGACGTGCAGCTAATCTTCGGCCAAGACGACGACCGTCATTTCTGGATTGGTAACCCACTGGACATGGATGCCAAGGTCTGCCTGGACCTGGATGAGTTGGTGAAGCGATCCATAGGCGTATTCGGCAAGAGCGGAACCGGGAAGACTTTCTTGACTCGGCTCCTTTTGGTGGGCATTCTGCAGGGCCGCAAAGCATCTTCCCTGGTATTCGACATGCACAGCGAGTACGGGTGGAGCGGCCAGGATACGGACCACAATCTGCAGGTAAAAGGTCTCAAGCAATTGTTCCCGTCCCAGGTTTCCACCTTTACATTGGACGAGGAGAGTTCCCGGCGCCGGGGCTCCTCCACCGACGAGGTCGTCCGAATCGGATATGGTGAAATCGAACCCGAAGACGTCGAACTGCTCAAGGAAAACCTGAACCTGTCCGACGTAGCCGCTTCGGCAGCGTTTAACCTTCAGCAGTGGTTCGGCAGGAACTGGATGGGTCAATTCCTCCAAAAGCAGGGACAGGACCTTAGCGAACTGGCCGATGAACTGGGCGTCAACCGGGCAGCGCTGGGAGCCCTGCACAACCGGTTGGCACGCTTCCGACGGTACCCTTTCCTGGAAGACAATGATCGCCACAATGCCGCCGCCGCCATCATAGAGCACCTGGAGCGGGGCAAGCACGTGGTGCTGGAATTCGGAAGATATGGCAAAGACCTCAATGCTTACATCTTGGTCAGCAACCTGTTGACCAGGAGAATCCACGAACGCTACGTAGAGCTTAAGGAAGAGGCCGAGGGAAGCCATGGCAGGGAACCCCGGCCACTGGTTATAGTTATCGAAGAGGCCCACAAGTTTCTCAATGCGTCGGTAGCTCCCCAGACCACCTTCGGCATAATTGCCCGGGAGTTACGGAAGTACAACGTAACACTGATGGTGATTGACCAAAGGCCCAGCGGCATCGACTCGGAGGTAATGAGCCAATTGGGCACCCGCCTGACTTGCCTGCTAGACAACGACCGGGATATTGACTCCGTTCTGTCGGGCACTGCCGGCAGCCGGCAACTGCGCGGTGTCCTTGCCCGCCTGGAGGCCCGGCAGCAGGCCCTGATTTTCGGCCATGCCGTTCCGATGCCGGTGGTGGTGCACACCAGAGACTACGGTACCGCCGAGTCCTACGCCCTGCTGACCAGCAGAGAAAGGCCGGGTAATAATGACGAAGCCCACCCAGCAGAAACCGGCAAAGAACGGCTGGAACGGGAGATTGACGAGCTGTTTAGCTAAATTAGCACTTCCGGTTAGTGGCCCGTCAGACGACGTTTAAACTATGCTCACTTTAACTTCAAACACGACTACCACTCGGCTGATCCGGTCCATCACCCGCCCCCTGGGCCTGGTGCCGACAATGGGCGCTTTGCACGAGGGGCACCTGGCCCTGGTACGGAGGGCAAGGCAGGAAAACCCCTTCGTTGTTGTCTCTATTTTTGTAAATCCCACCCAGTTCGGACCCCAAGAGGACCTGGCAACCTACCCCAGGGACACGCGACGAGACCTGGCCCTCCTGGAAGCAGAGGGCGTTGACCTGGCCTACACTCCGGGACCGGAAGAAGTGTATCCGAAGGGTTTCGACACCTGGGTGGAGCCGGGGGCGTTGGCGGAGCGGTTGGAAGGGGCGGTAAGGCCCGGGCATTTTCGCGGAGTTGCCACGGTAGTTGCCAAGCTGTTCAATGTGGTTGGGCCAGACCGGGCCTACTTCGGGCAGAAGGACGGACAGCAACTTGCGGTGATCAGGCAGATGGTGCAAGACCTGAACATGAGGGTTGAAATTGTGGCTGTGCCGACAGTCCGCGATGCCGATGGTCTGGCGCTCAGCAGCCGCAACGCCTACCTGACGCAGGCGCAGCGCCGGGCAGCGCCGGTAATTTACCGGGCACTGTCAAAGGCAGAGGAACTGTGGCAGGGCGGCGTAACTAACTCGGAAGCGCTGCGGGACAGTGTCCGGGCAACTTTGGACAGCGAACCCTCGATTGATGGAATTGACTACGTGAGTGTGGCTGAGGCTACAACGCTGGCAGAACTGGAGCAGGTCAACGCACCAGCCATGGTATCGACCGCGGTTCGGCTGGGGAGTACTCGATTAATTGATAATGTCCTTCTTGGCTGACCAGGGCCCGCTCATCTGCCACCAGTCAAGACACCGCGCCAAGAATTACTCCTGCACTAACTCCCTTACAGTTTCCGTCATTGCCGCAAGAACCTTTTCCCAGTCGCCAATAACACCGTAGCGGGCTTCCTTAAAAATGTTGGCCTCTGCGTCCTTGTTGATGGCGACTATGGCTTTGGACCCGGAGCATCCGGCCATGTGCTGGCTGGCTCCAGAGATTGCTATGGTGATGTACAGATCCGGAGTAATGGTCTTGCCCGTCAGACCTACCTGGTAGCTAGCGGGAACCCAGCCAGAGTCAACGGCGGCCCTGGATGCTCCCACTGCGCCACCGAGCAGCTTGGCCAACTCTTCCAGTTGGGCAAAGGGCTCCGGACCACCCAAGCCTCGACCACCCGACACAACGATGGTGGCATCCTCCAGCTTGACACCCTCAGCCTCTTCCTTCACCACCTCAATCACCCTGCTCCGGACAATCGAGTCGTCGAGATCCACGGGGAAGGAGACCACCTCACCCTGACGGGACGCATCAGGTTCCAAGGGTACGTAAACCTTGGGACGGACAGCTGCCACCTGGGGAGTCTGATTGCAGCTCACGACAGCGACAGCATTGCCGCCATAAACTGGTCGGTTAGCCAGGAGCCTACCGGTGGCAGCGTCGGCAGACACTTCAAGGCAGTCCTGGGCCAGACCAACGCCCAGGCGGAATGCCAGACGGGGGGCAACTTCCCGGCCCTGGTTAGTGCGAGCTATCAAGACAATAGACGGGCTGGTCTCCTTGCAGAGGGTCTCGGCAGCGGCCAGGTAAAGCTCCACCTGGAAGTCGGCCAGCATGGGACTGGTTACCGAATATACTTTGTCGGCTCCCTGTGCAATGGCGGACTGGGCAATATCCCCTCCCACGTCCCCAAATATTCCGATAGCCAACTCCTGGCCCAGGTCATCGGCCATTTTCCGGCCGGCAGCCAAGACTTCCTGGGAGGCCAGGGTTAGTTCGTCCCCCAGAGTTTCCCCAATTATCAGAACTCCGTTGCCCTCAGCCATGGAGGCCTCCGTTTGCACTTAAAATATTCCAACGGCCCCAAGTCTTAACGAGCGTCTACCCGGTAGACTAAGGGCTCAAGTCAATTCAATTCGAGGCTAAAAGAACTTTTCCTCTCTCAACCTCAAAGCCAGTTTACGGCCGGCGTCGGCTTCATCGTCACCCTCAATGATTTCACACTCGGCGCTGCTGACCGGAACGAACAGATCATGGAGGGTAAGGCGAGAATCCATTTGACCACTTTCCAAGTCCAGGTCTGCCGCACTCCAAATTGTCGGACGCTTGCGGGTAGCGGCCATGATTCCCCGAAGGGTAGGATAACGAGGCTGTCCCAACTCGTTGCTGACAGTTACCAGGGCAGGCAGCGCTGCTTCCACAACTTCGTACCCGTCAGGTATCAGTCGCTCGACTACTACCTTGTCTTCCTTGAGTTCCACTTTCTTGCCCAAGGCAACGCAAGATACCCCGAGCAACTCGGCTACTCCCAGCGGTACCTGAGCATTGTCCCAGTCGGAGGCCTGGCGCCCGCAGATGATGAGGTCGAATCCACCCAGCTTGCGAATCGCCGCCGCCAGCAATTGGGCGGTTTGAAAGCTGTCCACCGAGTTTTGGAAAGCGTCGTCCTGCAACAGGACCAGTTCGTCGGCGCCCATGGACAGCGGTTTCTTCATTACGTCCAAGGCAAAGGCGGAACCGGCAGAAATTACGGTGATGCTGGCTTCCTGGGAATCCTTTATTTGAAGGGCGGCTTCTACCGCGTTTTCGTCGAAACCGTTAACAACAGGAGGAATGTTTGGGGGCGTAACCACGCGTTTTGAGTTAGCGTCGATTTGGAAAGCGGCCATAGGCATTTCCGGATCTATGACCTGCTTGGCCAGTACGGCAATCTTGGCTGGCATCTTGTTTCCTCGCGGGAAAATTAGCTATGAAAACCTTGTGAAATGTATCACCACCATCCTTTGAGTGTCAATTGACTCCCTTTGGCATTCGGGGCTTATGTCTGGGAAACAAGGGCCTAAATCGTATTTAAGAGCTTGGTTTTCGTATTAACTCACCTAGTGTTGATTTCGGAATGTTTGCCCCCTAAATCCTTCATTCGGCCTGTATCCCCAAGCGACCAGCAAGTTCAGCGCGCCAAGCTTTATTGTTGGAAACACTTGGAATAGACAATTCTGTCCTTGGAGAGGCGGACCATGCGCAAGTGGACACGGCCAGCCACTCGCTTCCCCGGCGCTTCAATCCTCTGCCGCCCAAGATGGGATTTCCCACCGGAACACAGCAGAGTGAAGTGTGGTGCTAGAATCGGGGGAAACTCATTCTCTTGGCCTGGCGTAGTGGGTTGATGTTTCTCTGGATCGCTCGCAGTGTACTTACGCTCCTAACCGGGCTGGCAGTCTTTTTGGCCCTGCTGTTTCTACTTACCTTCGCAGGTGTCAAGGGTCTAACGAGCAGTGACAATTACTCCGACGCTCTGGTAGAAGTGAACGCCTACGAGCGTGTCTACTCAGAATTACTTCCCCCCGACACACTTGAGGGCTTCTTGAAGACCATTGCGGGAGAATCGGTCAACTTACCTGCTGCCGATCTGCAGCAGCTAGCGCGGACGGTGGCACCTCCCGAATATCTTAGAAGTCAGGTGGAGGCAAACCTTGGGAGGCTTGAAGTTTTCGCGTCAGGGGATTCGGACAAGCTCGAACTTTACCTGGAACTAGACGGTCCACTGGATCGAATAACTCCGGCAACCTTAAGCCTGTTAGAGCGCCGAATTGAAAAAGCGCCCTTGGAACCAGGAGGGCAAACGCGCTCCCAAGTTTTCGTGTCCGCTGAGCACCAATACGCCGACGAATTCAATTCTGCTTTGGAAGCTGTGTTGTCCGGTGAACCCATTTCCACGGCAGTGTCCGACCTGACCGGATTTACCGAAAGCGAGGTGATGGAGACTTTTGACCGATTCTTAGTCGTTACCATGGAGAACCCTGCATTTGACCAGAAATACCGGGATTCGATAAGGGAGGCGGAGCCACATTTAAGGCAATCCTTCGCGTCAGGAAATACCAGGGATCTTCTCAGACAAGTAGCTAGCACTTTAGCAGAACCTGCAGTAGAGACTGCGCTGGCAGACTTCCGTGCCAAACTTGACGACGAGGATCGTCTTGACCTGGCGCCGATTTTGTCGGAAGAGCACTTGGGAATCGGCGAGGAAGAACTTCAAGAGAGGGCCCGACTATGGCGTCAACGTGTACTGAGTTACCTCAATGTTTCCAGAAACATGGCCGTTGGTGCTTTGGTTCTGTCTGCGGCAGCAATGCTGCTGGTTTTCTGGCGGAGGTTGGGCAGCTTTCTGAAATGGCTATATTGGACTTTGGTACTTAGCGGAGCGGCAGCACTGGCTCTTCTGGCCATGGCGTACTTTATTGTGCCAGGTGCGATAGAAGGGATGCTACGTGGACTGTTTGCTTCTGAAAATTCGGCGCCAACTGGGTTGGTGGTGCTGGGTTCGGAAGTAATTGCGACAGTCGTCTCAAACCAGATTAAAGCTCTAAGCTGGATCCCTGCGACGCCACTGGTAGTTGGAGCAATCTTATGGACAGTCAGCCCAGCGCTGGGCAAACTTCGTAAGGGAAGTGAACCCGAGAGCGAGACGCAGCCTCCCCAACAGGAAGACGACTACGACAACACGCTCCCCAGGAATTGAGGATAACCTCGAAGGAACTCGGCGGCGGACGTCGCTCGACGGCCTTCCAATTGTAATGTTCTAATGCCCAGAATGCCGTCTGCTGTCCCAATTCCCAGCGTCGCCTCGTCAAAACCAATGTCTACCACCTCTCCAGGCCCGGCAGAAGGACAACTTACCTCAGCGCCAAGGCTGTTGGGCAGTGTAACTTCAAGCAACCGCAATGACTTTCCTTCCCATTCGGTATAAAGACCCGGCCAGGGAGTATAAGCCCGTTGCATCCGCTCCAGTATGCTCGCGGCTAGCATCCAATCGACCATTCCGTCCGACCGAGCCAATTTGCTTGTGACTGTGGCCTGGGAGTGATCCTGAGGACTGGCTTCCAGAAGGCCGGACGTCCACTGCCCCAGGGTGGCAAGCAATAGTTCGCCTCCTACCTTGAATAGCTCTTGAGTGAGAGTTTCGGCGGTTTCTGTACCTGTTAACGCCATTCTTGCTTGGGCCAATAATGGCCCCGTGTCCATTCCCTCATCCAGTAACATCAAGGTTACGCCAGTCTCACATAATCCATCTAATATCGTAGCAACCACCGGTGAAGGACCCCGATACTTGGGAAGCAATGACGGATGAATGTTCAGGCACCCAAAGGGTGGCATTTCAAGTACTTTGGGCGGCAATAATTTGCCGTAAGCCGCAACAACGATAACGTCGGACTGCAAGGCGGACAACTCTTCCTGAATATCACTGGAACGAAGGGACGCCGGTTGAAAGACCGGCAGGTCCAAGCTAGTTGCTGCCACCTTTACCGGAGGGGATTCAATCTCTTGTCCTCGTCCCCTGGGCCGGTCTGGAGGCGTATAAACTGCGACCACTTCAACTGCGGGTCCTTCGCACAACGCTTCCAGCACCGGAACCGCAAAGTCTGGCGTTCCCATAAAAACTGCGCGCATTTTGCCTCCGACCGGCTAGGTTTGAGGAGATCGCTTTTTAGTTATTTGTCCAGGCCGCAATGCCACCTGGAGCAGGAATTATCCCACCGAATGAATTGGTGAGACAACTTCCTTTCAATGTTTCTCAGCGATTTCCAGCATTTAATTTCTTATGTTGCCAGGAAACATGAAGATTTAATTTTCATGCCCTCTATGGATAAGTTGACTTCCAGAACTGGACCCTGCGGGAGGACTACAGACTATTCGGAAGGCTCGGCATGAATCGATTGACGGCAAGAGCAAATTTGTCCTGCCAATTCTTCTCTACATGATGTGGCTATGGCATCCCTACGCCAAGTTTGGGCTACTTGGCAACGAATTAAATAGGTAGCGTCTGAACTTTTGGCCAAGTAGTGTCGTTTTTGATGTTGACAAGACTAATTTGATATGCTATCAATAGGTTAACCGCTTGTCGGGAATCTGAAAAAAGGAGGTGATGTGGTATGAAACATAGTTTAGTATGCGGGGGCGATGGTAGGCATCAGTCTGGACACGACGGGGTGAGCCTAACCTAAAGGTTTTAAATATCTCAGACCCGTTAGTCGGGCCCAGGCCAATGTCTACCATCGCCCCCGGGACTTTAGTGACTCTTGGGCGGTGCCAAATCCAGATGGGCTGGGCCCGATCCCTTCTCTTACCGCTTTGCGGCGGCCTTCTTCTTCTTTCCAAGCCGCAGGCTCAGAACTTATTCCTGTAAGTTTCCGTGGCGAAATCCCAACCTCCTTGAAGTGCGGATTTGCTACATCGAGTTGCGATGTATTCGCAATTGACATTTAAATACCCTGCTCTTAGAATTACGTGACGAAATTATGGCAGGCCCATGAGCCGACATTTTTGGAGTATTTATGTTACGTATTCGGTTAAGGAGAGTGGGCAAAAAAGGCAAGCCTTCCTATCGGATTGTAGTCGCGGACTCGGCCGCCCCCAGGGATGGCGCCTACGTTGAATGGATAGGGAATACGACCCTTTGGTGGATCCACCAGCGGTTGTGCTCAAGGAAGATCGGGCCATTGAGTGGCTGAGCAAGGGAGCGCAGCCGTCGGAGGCGGTAAAACGAATCTTCGACCGGGACGGCATCTACGAGAAGATGAACGCACCTGTGGAAGAGTTGGTAGTGGCTGAAGAGCAAATTGAATGAAAGAATATTGGTTGAATACATTGCCCGATCCCTGGCCACCAACCCAGATGCGGTTAAGGTCACAGAGTCTGTCGAAGATGGCCAGGTAATCCTCAGGCTGGAAGTAGCCCCCGAGGATAAGGGTAAGGTAATCGGCAGACAGGGAAGAGTAGCCCAGGCAATTCGCGTATTGGTGCGAGTTGCCGCGATTAAAGAGGGGACCCGGGCGCTGCTCGAAATAGTCTAGCTATATATTCCCCAACCCTGACTTATCCGGTTCGACACACTCTTCCGGAAGAGGCGTTGTTCTTTTCCCTACAAGTTTCTTATTTTGAATGACCATCTGCTGCCCAAGACAGACGTTTCTGCCCCTCAAGCCATTGTTGGTGTAATCCTTGGCGCCCATGGGGTGCACGGTGAAGTTCGCGTGCGCGTTTGGAGCGAAGTTCCAGGCCGTTTCGACCCGGGCCAAACTCTTTTTATTCAAGAACAGAAACACCAGATCCTGTCGTGCGGGCAAGGCCGTAAGGGGCTCACGATACTCAAGCTTGAAGGCATTGAAACTGAGAAAGCGGCTCAGGCCTTAACCGGGCAGGAGTTAAGCGCTCTGGCAGACGGAACCTCGGCTTTGTCTGAGGACGAGTATTTTCACTATCAACTGCTCGACATGCGGGTTTTTACAGAGGATGGAGAGGATTTGGGCCTCATTAGGGAAATTATTGCCACCGGCAGTAATGACGTGTATGTGGTTGCGGGGCCCAGTGGCGAAATCCTGCTGCCCGCATTGGCCCAGGTAGTCCGCCAGGTAAATATTCCTGACGGGATAATGACTGTCCGACTGATGGAAGGACTTCGCTGACCCAAGACCAACACCCTCCGACTGTGCGTACAGAAGGCCCAGTTGCTTACTGGCCGGTTTCTGTTTCTTAAGCGCCGCCAACACTTGGCAATTCCTCCTAACCTCATAACGGTCAGCATGTATTATTGACCGCCTCCACTCCTTCGTAAGCACCTGTCGGTTCCCGCTTCAGACGGTTCCGTCCGTGCGTCGCTAAAATGTCTCACTGTTCACAAACTTGGGAATTCCTGCCTTACGGCTTTCAGCCCCAGGGCAACCAGGTAGGCCTCCTGCTTCGTACGTCTGAATACACCACTCAATTCCACGCCTCGATTGCCGTCTCTTGTTTTGACCGGGCAATGTGCCAATGCTACAATCGTGAGAGAATCCTCAATATTTCGAACCGGGATAATAGTCGGCAAAATCAGGTTTCCAAACAATATTCGCGTCGTACCTGGTCAGAAGGAGGCAAGCAGTATGTCAGGACACTCGAAATGGTCAACGATCAAGCGAGCTAAAGGGGCCGCCGACGCCAAACGAGGCGCCCTTTTCACTAAGCTGGCCAAGGATATTACTCTGGCAGCCGCCCAGGGTGGTGGCGGCGACCCGGATATGAACTTCCGTTTGCGCTTGGCAATTGACAAAGCGAAGTCCAGCAACATGCCAATGGAAAGCATAAGTCGGGCTGTCAAGCGAGGATCCGGTGGTTCGGGCGAAGGAGACGTTAGCCTGGCCGAAATCACCTACGAGGGCTATGGTCCCGGCGGCGGCGCCATCCTCCTGCAGGCCGTTACCGACAACCGAAACCGGACCGCCGCTGAGGTGCGGTCAGCTTTCAACAAGGGCGGCGGGAACCTCGGTGAGTCGGGCTGCGTGGCGTGGCATTTCGAGACCAAGGGCGTTATCACCATCGAAATGGATGACGAAGATAAGGCCGAGGAGTTGGGACTGGTGGCGATTGATGCCGGCGCCGAGGACGTGAAGATTGAAGACGGCATTGTCGAAATCCACACCCCCCCTGACGGGCTGCAAGACACTCAAAAGGCCTTGGAGGATGAAGGAGTCACCTTCACTTCTTCGGACATCTCCCTGGTTCCCAAGGCCACGGTGGCCCTGGACGCCAAAGCGGCGGAGCAAACCCTACGGCTGCTGGACCTTCTCGAAGATCTGGCTGACATTCAGAAGGCCTACACCAATGCCGACTTTCCGCCCGAAGTCCTTGAGCAGTATGGAGCAGCCTCTTAGCTTAATTGTATGTGTCCCTCGGGCGGGAGGCCGAGCCCTGGATGTCTGGGGCCGGAACTCCGCTCTCTTTTTTCTTGGCAACATCCAAGGTCGCTAGTCCAAGGTCGCTAGTCCAAGGTCGGTAGAATGCGAGTTCTGGCAATAGACCCGGGAACCATCAGGATGGGCTATGGAGTCCTCTCCGGGGAATTGAGCCCGGTTGCTGAGGACTACGGTGTAGTTGAGCTTTCGAGGTACATGATTATCGAAGAGCGGCTCTACCAGCTATTCACCCACGTCGGGAACATGATCAGCGTCTTCCAACCCGATGCGGTGGCAGTCGAGAAGCCATTCATCGGCCGGGGCGACCGCCAGTTCATTGGCCCGGCCCTTGCCGTCGGACAGGCTCAAGCCGTGGTCCTCATTGGCGCAGCCAGCGCGGGCATTCCCGTTTACCGCTACAGTCCCGCCGAGGTCAAGCGGGCCGTTGCTGACTATGGGGCAGCAACCAAGGACCAGATGCAGCGGGCCCTGGCCGCCACGCTGCGGCTGGACTCCCTGCCGGATTCGGACGCCGCCGACGCCTTGTCCGTGGGACTGTGTCACCTCATCAGGTCCGGCGAGCGTGATGCGCTGTCCCGCGAAATCACCCCCGGGTCGGAGCGCTAGCCCGTGATTGTCGGTGTTACCGGCCAACTGTCGGCCACGGGAGACGACTGGGTTCACCTGACTGTCGGCGGGGTTACCCTCCTAATCTACGTACCAGTTTCAGAGCTATTGACCCTGGGGTCCGTGGGCACCCAGGTCCATCTGTTTACTCACCTGAGGATTCGCGACGAACATCCCAACCTGTACGGATTTACCAGCCAGGCCGCCCTTGACCTGTTCCTGGTCACCCAGGGAGTTTCGGGCGTGGGGCCCAGGCTAGGACTGGCGTTACTATCCGGCTTGGGCGCCGCGGGATTGCAGCAGGCCATTGCGGCAGGAGACACAGCCAGGCTGAGCGGGGTTTCCGGAGTGGGGCGCCGCATGGCCGACCGGATAATTCTGGAGCTCAAGGGCAAAGTAGACAGCGACATCATCGACGACCCAGGAGCGCTTGTCGGAGGGGACGGCGAACTGATTGACGCGCTGACCGCGCTGGGCTATACGACGACAGAAATTCGCCGGTGCTGGTAAATCTGGACCGCTCTCCAGACCTGACCTTCGATGACTACTTGCGGCAGGCGCTACAGCAGATTGGCGGGTGGTGACTCGAATTCGCACACCCAAGGACAGCTCGTCCCGAAGACCAGCTTCTTAACATGGTGATGTTATCCTTCTCCGATAACTGGTTCCTAGGAAACTCAAGCCACCGGCAATTGCGCCCTAGAGATCGGCTACGATTGCTGACGATAAACCACCGAAAGTGGACTTAAAATGCTGGGATAGAGGGCAATAGTATGCCTGATTTTCAACTGGCTTCCGACTTTAGAATGACCGGCGACCAGCCGCGCGCAGTGGAACGGCTGGTGGAAGGGGTCAATGAGGGTATGGTCCACCAGACCCTTCTCGGCGTGACTGGAAGCGGCAAGACCTTCACCATGGCCAATATCATCCAGGAAGTCCAACGGCCCACCCTGGTCATGGCCCACAACAAGACCCTGGCTGCCCAGTTAGCCACCGAGTTCAAGGAGTTCTTTCCCAACAACGCCGTTGAGTACTTCGTGTCCTACTACGACTACTACCAGCCCGAGGCCTACGTTCCCCGCAGCGATACTTACGTGGAGAAGGACGCCAGCGTCAACGAGGAACTGGACAAACTACGGCTCTCCGCCACTACTTCCCTGTTAACCCGGCGGGATGTACTGATCGTTGCTTCCGTTTCCTGCATCTATGGCCTGGGCGACCCACAAGACTATTTCAACCTGGTGGCGCAGATCAGAGTCGGAGAGATTCGCGAACGAACAAGGCTGCTGCGCCAGCTCGTCGAAATGCAGTACGAGCGCAACGATATGGAACTGTCTCGTGGCAAGTTCAGGGTTCGTGGCGACACCCTGGAACTGGTTCCGGCCTACGAGGAAGTGGCCATAAGCATCCAGTTCTTTGGCGACGAGGTGGAGCGGATCGTCACTCTGGACCCTCTGACGGGGGAGGTTCTGGGTCAACAGCAAGAGACCGCCATTTACCCGGCCAAGCACTTCGTCACCAGCAAGGAGAAGCTGGCTCTGGCTTGCACCGATATCCGTGAGGAATTGGCAGAGCGACTGGCGGAACTGAAGCGGCAGGGCAAACTCCTGGAGGCCGCTCGCCTGGAAAGCCGGACCCACTACGACTTGGAGATGCTGCAGGAAACTGGGTTTTGTGCCGGGGTTGAGAATTATGCTCGCCACCTGTCCCGAAGGGGGCCGGGCACTCCTCCGCACACCCTGCTGGACTACTTCCCTGAGGATTACCTCTTAATGGTGGACGAGTCGCACATGACCCTGCCCCAAGTCCGGGGCATGTACCACGGCGACCTTTCCCGCAAGCAGACATTGGTCGACTTCGGGTTCCGCCTGCCTTCGGCCCTGGACAACCGCCCCCTGAACTTCGGCGAGTTTGAACGGCACATCAACCAGGTGGTATTCGTTTCGGCCACGCCCGGCCCCTACGAAATGGAGCACGCCGCCACCGTGGTCGAGCAGGTGATTCGCCCTACGGGTCTGCTGGATCCCACCATCGAGGTCAAACCTTCGGCGGGGCAGATTGACGACTTGATGCAACAAATCAAGATAAGGGTAGAACAACGGCAGCGCTGCCTGGTCACAACACTTACGAAGCGCATGGCCGAGGAACTTGCCGACTTCCTGTCTGAGATGGGCATCCGTAACCATTATCTCCACTCCGACATTCACACGCTGGAGCGGATAGAAATACTGCGCGACCTGAGGCTGGGGGTTTACGACGTTGTGGTGGGGATCAACCTGCTGCGGGAAGGACTGGACTTGCCGGAGGTTAGCCTGGTGGCCATTCTGGACGCCGACAAGGAAGGTTACCTGAGATCTACCACGTCACTGATCCAGACAATTGGTCGCGCCGCCCGCCATTCCGAAGGGCACGTCATCATGTATGCCGATCGGGTTACTGACTCGATGAAATTCGCCATTGACGAGACGTACCGGCGCCGGGGAATTCAGGACGTTCATAACCGTGAAAACGGAATTGAACCGCAAAGCATTCAGAAAGCGGTGCACGACATCACCGAAAGCATCAAGGCAGTCGGCGAGAAACGGGCCAGCTACCGGGTAGTGCGGCAGGAAATGTCCAGGGAGGACATGTTCCGGGTAATCAAGGACCTCGAAGTCCAGATGAAGGACGCCGCGCGAAACCTGGAGTTCGAGAAGGCAGCGCAGGTCAGGGACGAAATTTACGAGCTGCGGCGAATACTGGCGGTGGAAGAAAAAACTCTGGCGGGCTAAGAATGATCTGCTATTTATGTCATAGTGTCTTACACTAGACAGAGGATTCTGGGTCATTCCAAGGGCGGGGTTTGAAGGATGAAATCGGCTTACACTGCGTTAATTCAAAAAAGTGACTCCTGGTGGATTGGATGGGTCGAGGAGATCCCAGGAGTTAACTCCCAGGGACGGACATGCGAAGAGTTACTGGACAATCTGCGTTCGGCTTTGAAAGAGGCCTCGAAGTTGAACCACGAAGAAGCGCTTGCCTCAGCTACGGGTTCCTACGAAGAAGTGAGCATTGAGGTGTGAGACGGAGACAGCTTATTTCTCACCTACCCTCTCAGGGTTGTGTATTGATACTTGAGGGGCGAAGGCACTCCTGGTGGAGCAATCCTGCTAACGGTAGACGAATTGCGGTACCAAGTCACACGGAAGTCAATGATTTGTTGGCCAGAAAGATATGCCGGGACTTGGGTGTCCTTCAACCTCGATAAATTGTATTTTGAAGCCGAACCCTGGACAGCGGGGCACGGTGATCACTGTCTCGATTTAGCTCTGCTGCAGAGTCATGGCGAGGGCATACAAAGCATGGGCATAAGCTGGTCAGGAACCGAACTCCAGTTCCCTACATCTGCGCCAGGTTTGTCACCATGTTGTAGACAAACCAGCCGTTGCCGGTGATGAACATCTGGGGTCGGGCAGTCTGAGCCTCTCTCATAATCCCGAAACCGTCACTGAATGGGTCAAAGGCCACAATTCTGTTGTAGGCTACGCGAAATCGCTTGGACGATCCTGCGAAGTAAATGTGCTTGTTGGTCAGCCCCATCAGGCCCACATCCATTTTCTCGGTCACGGTTGTTTCAACGGTACGGCTCCTGAAGCCACCGGTGTGGTAATAGACCCCCCGCATGACTCGTATGCTGGCTCCTTGCGCTCCCCCCACTCTTTCCCTTTGTACCCGTTCTTCCAAATACGAGACGTCTTCGAACACCCATACCAGCTTCTCTGATTTTTGCAGGTTGAAGGGAATCTGTCCGACAACCTGCTGCCGGTCGGGAAGGTTTCCCTCAACCACCTCTCGAATAACTGAACCCTGAATCACGGAAGTGCGAGCTCCGTTCCGATCAAGCTCCTCCTGAGGCAAGTGAAATCTTTCTGCATAATCCGCCAGGTTGGTTTCTTCTTCCCGTGAAATCAAATGGTCGCCCAACGCGGTTTGCACCGCTTGCTCCCAGCCCTCCAAAAGGGCGTCCCTGATCTTCTCGGACGGGACGAAGCTCGAAGTGGCCAGATCTCCCAGCTCAGTTACCAGGTTTTCCCGATTCCGGCCCGAGAGAGCCGATTCGCTGGACAGGGAAAGCATTTGTTGCCAGCCGTCGCGATTGGCGTCCTCGCATTCACGGTGGGAGTTCCTCAGGAACCCAGCATCGTCTCCGCAGTGCCTACAGTATCCCATTCTTGTCCCCTTTAAGGCTGAGCAAGTCGCATTCCTGCACTTCTGCTATCGGCGCGATTTCCCTGATATTCCCGTCGCACCACATTAGGCTATTGCCCGGTCCACCAATTCATGAAGCAGGCCCAGCAGTTCGCCATTCTCTTCTAAAGTGAAGTTGTCAACGTAATAGCGGTTAATTCCGGACCCACCGTCCACGGCGCCGTCATTCACCATTTGGGTGATAAGGCGCGTGTCCTCCTCCACTGAAGGCAGCAAATTGCGTCCCACAAGGCGGGACAGGGCGGCAACCAGTCCATAGCCACCCCAGTTGGAGACGCTGGCGAGGACCAGCCGGTCAACCTCGGTTATGGCCGGCTCGTCGGGCAGGCGGTCAACGGGCGGAATGTGTTCCGCAACATTGCCCATGCCTATCTCGTTGCCGCCGTCGCCAATGCCCACCGAAGGTATGCCGAACTCAAAAAGGTAGTCCAGCCGGGCGGTATATTCGGTAATATCGCGGGAAAGCATATTGAGATAGACATCGCCGGCGTTGCGACCGCACCTCTCGATGGTGACGAGCAGGTCAGTATGCAGGTCGTCTATTAGTTGCTTCGCCGCTTGCCGGCTTGCCTCATCGCCGGCTATTGGAAAGTCGACCACCGCAGCCCGATCTCCCAGCCACTCACTCATCATGGGAGCGCTGTGGTAGTCGGTGATATAAGTTACTTCTCGCCCAAGTTCTTGCAGAGCGTTGCCGATGGCAATAGCGCCGGGCGGTCCGTCGGTCTCGTGCTGGCCCGCGGTCAGGATGTAGAACCCGGTGATTATCGCGACCCGGCCCGGGTGGTCCAGCAGGTATTGGGCTGCCTGTTCGCAGAAATCAACCGGAACGAAGGGACGCAGTTCGGACACACCCCTTTTGTCCTCGGAGAGAATAATGTCTTCGATAGTTTCACCGGCGAAATTCATTGCCATTTCCTCAACCTACAGTCAGGCCCAGTACGGGGCCGCGTCTACAGCGACAGCGTGAGGCTATAAGACGGCATAATCGGCGTCGCGCTGCGCCGTCACGAACATGTGGCCTGGCGCGTGGGTGATCATCAAGGGTGGCTTGCAGTTCAAGGCCACTGCCTGGGGCGTGACACCGCAGGCCCAGAATACCGGCTCCTCTCCCGGGCGGATCTCAACGCCATCGCCAAAATCGGGACGATCTATATTTTCGATGCCAATGACCGACGGGTCGCCTATGTGTACCGGCGCCCCGTGGGTGGCTGGGAAACGGGAAGTTACCTGTACCGCCCGGACTATCTTGTCATGCCGCACCGGTCTCATGCTGACCACCATGGGGCCGGAGAACACGCCGGCCGAATTGGTAGCTATGTTGGTAACGTACATCGGCACGTTACAGTTCATTTCCTGATGTCTCAGGGAGATTCCGGCCTCGGACAACGCAGACTCGAAAGAAAAGCTGCAGCCCAGCAGAAAAGAGACGAGGTCGTCTCGCCAGATTTCCTTCAACGAGTCCACTTCGCCGGTAAGTTCGCCGTTCTCGTAAACCCGATAGTAGGGAATGTCGGTCCTGATATCGGCGCCAGGTGCGGTTAGCCTGGGCTCAACCTCCCCGGCCTCGATAACCTCCAATATTGGGCAGGGGCGAGGATTGCGCTGGCAAAACAGCAGGAAGTCAAAGGCAAGCGCCATGGGCAATATGGCAAGGTTGGCCTGCACGTAGCCGGGGGCAACCCCGGAGGTTACACCCCTCCAATCGCCGGTGCGGATCTTCTTCCAAGCCTCCTGTGGGGTTTGAGGGAGAGTCTGGATGGCCATTGGCGCCTCCAATAAAGTGCGGTTGAAGGATTTTCGGATTATCGATCCAGATCCGGACAACAGCGTGAATAGTCCCCATAGTAGTATCCGGTTTCCAACATAGTCAATTCGCGGAATGTCATTGTTCTTGGCCGAAACCGTAGGTGAGCGACAGTTACTGGGACGATTGCCCAGGAAACGCTCCCGAAATAGGAGCTCTAACGGTTTGGTGTGTCAAACTAAATCGAATATACTTACCGCATCGGAATACTACCCATTCAACACAGGTCCTGTTCGTGTACACCATATTTCTCCTCGCAACCCACGGTAACGGCTTGCATGGCCTGCTGGAGACAGTAAGCCGGTCGGGCTTGTCATGCCTGTTTGGGTCAGAACTTTCTCAGGTCGCAGACGCTGCGAGCTCGGACCAAACTGACATGGACGCCGTGATGCTGGACGTAGAATCTTTCCGGCCCGCCGAGTGTCAGGACCTTGTAACAGGCTGCCGTGAGCTAAAGGTTCCCGTGCTGGCGGTGATTCCGGCGGATTCGCTGGAGGAATACGACCCAGCGATGAACCCGGACGAGTTCATCCTGACCCCCATGCAGAAGGAAGAGCTGCTGGCCAGAATTAAACAGGCTATCTACCGTGTAAGCGGCCCAAGCGGCGGGCAGTTGCTCAAGGTGGGCGACCTCTCAATAGACCTGGAACGATACGACGTAATGATGGCAGGGCGCAGGGTTTCGCTGACCTACAAGGAATTCCAACTGCTGGTCATGCTGGCGTCAAACCCAGGCAGAGTGTATAGTCGTGACGTGCTGCTAAGCCAGGTCTGGGGCTACGACTACCTGGGCGGAACTCGGACAGTGGACGTCCACGTCAGGAGATTGCGTTCCAAGATAGAGGACCCGGACCATTCCTTCATCGAAACAATATGGAACGTGGGATACCGATTCAAATCCACCGTTTGATTCAAGCTCCCGCCATTAGGTGAACTCGGCGCTAACCCGCTCCATAAACCGCGCGACCTGCGCCGCTAAGGTCGCATGTTCCTCCAAAGCCAGCTCCGGATCCTTCTCAATGATCGATGTAGCCTCGTGCCGCGCCATGTCCAGCAGGTCCCTGTCAGATAGTTGGGCCATCCGCAGGCTGGGCAGGCCGCTCTGGCGGGTGCCGAAGAAATCTCCGGGGCCCCGCATTTCAAGGTCGACTTCTGCCAACTGAAAGCCATCCCGGGTACGTTCCAGTGCCGACAAACGCTCCTGGGCCAGTTGCGACGGATTTTCCGACATGAGGATGCAGTAGCTCTTGTGCTCACCCCGGCCCACTCGCCCACGGAACTGGTGCAACTGGGAGAGGCCGAACCGGTCGGCGCCTTCGATGAGCATCACCGTCGCATTGGGCACATCAAATACCCACCTCGACCACCGCCGTCGTTACCAGGATGTCCGTTTCACCGTCTCGAAAACGCCGCATCACCTTGTCTTTCTCCACTGAGGCCATGCGGCCGTGGAGAAGGCCCAGTTTCAGTTCGGGGAACACCTCCCCTGGACAGCCTTTGGTGCTCGTCAGTCGCTGCCTTGGCTTCGATAACCTCCGATTCTTCTATCAGCGGGCAGACGATGAATGCCTGTCGACCTGCCTGGATTTCACGGCTGATGAAGCCATAGGCAGCCTCTCTCCGGTCCGGCTCCACGTATCGTGTCAGGATTTCCTGGCGCCCCGGAGGAAGTTCGTCAATCGTGGAAATGTCGAGGTCGCCGTAGAAGGTCAACTGCAGGGTCCGGGGAATTGGCGTCGCCGACATGACGAGGGTGTGCGGGTTTTCGTCGCTCTTCTGGCGCAGCGCCGACCGCTGCATAACGCCGAACCGGTGCTGCTCATCCATTACCGCCAGGGCCAGGCGGGGTATCTCCACCCCCTCTTGGATCAGGGCATGAGTACCGATAAGCAGGTCAAGGGTTCCCTCGGAGGCCATGCCCGTCAGCCGCCTACGCGGTCTGGCTCGAGTGCTCCCCGTTAGCAGTCCTACCGTTAATGGCCTGCCCAAGGACTCCAGGTAGACGGTTAGCAAATTTTCGGACTGGGTGGTGTCCGCCATGCCTCCCAGCAGCCTAGCCACCGTCTGAAAGTGCTGTTCAGCCAAGACTTCCGTCGGCACCATGATGGATCCCTGGTACCCACGGGCTATGGCTGCCAGCAGGGCGATAAGCACCACCACCGTCTTGCCGCTGCCCACTTCCCCTTGCAGCAAACGGTTCATGGGTGGAGTGCCCTGACACAGGTCGGCCAGAATTTCGTCAATGCTGCGGCGTTGGGCCCCGGTAAGCTCAAATGGCAGGTTGGATATCAGCCCTTCGACCAACTCCGAGTCTCCCGCAATGGTGACGCCCCCCATCAGCTGGTTTTTCTTTTGCCGGCGGGAAAGCACCGACAGTTGGAGAGTCAACAATTCGTCGAAGGCCAGGCGACGGCGTGCCTGATCCCGGTTGGCCTGGCCGTCAGGAAAATGGGCCTGTTTTATTGCTTCCCTTGATGGAATAAGACTCCGACGCTTCCGCACTGATTCAGGGAGTGATTCCGAGACCAGTGGCAACCCCATCTGAAGCGTTTGCCAGGTCAGGTTGCGAAGAGTCCGACCGGTTAACCCCTGGGTTAATGGGTAGACCGGTAATAGACGACCGGTGTGAATCGACGACTGGCTGCCTCGTAGCACTTCATACTCGGGTGATTCGAACACTAATCGGCCGTTGAAGTCTCCAACCTTGCCGCTTATCGCGACCCTGGTACCTGCAGGAAGGGTCCGAGCAAGGTATCCTTGTCCAAACCAGCTAACCTTCACACTGCCCGTCTCGTCGGCCAACTGGGCTTCCGTTATCCTGAGCTGGCGGTTTCGCCCCCTTCGTTCTTCACGAATCTCCAGGATGTTCCCCTCTACAGTCCTTTCCTGACCGTATTGCAATTCCGCAACCTTGACGACAGCGGAGTAGTCCAGATGACGGCGAGGGAAGAAGTAGAGAAGATCCCTGAGAGTGGTAACTTCGAGCCTTCCCAATTGAACTGCCCGCTTGGAATCGACCCGTTGCAGAGCGGTAACCGGCGATTCAAGGTTGAGGGGCCCAGGTTCTGATTCAGGAGTGCTGCGCTGGCGAGAAGGTTTCCTGGGGCGGGTAGCATTGGCCTTGCCAGTTTTCTCGGTCTGGGAGTCCCTGCTCTGGGTCGAGGCTGTAGCGTCGTTGCCTTCCAGCATCGCAAGCCATTGCCTTGCCCACTCCTCCCTTTCCTCGGAGTTCATGGAGGCATAACCCGGCCGGATAAGAAGGCGGTTGGATGGCAACTTGCTAACGAACGAGGCTAAAGAGGAGGACCAAAGGCGAACGAATCCATCCATTCCCCCGATGACAGCCTTGTCGTTGTACCCGTTAGCCCGCTCCAGTTCGAGAATGTTCCGGAACGGCTGCATCCAGGCTTCTGATTGCTGGCGAGAGGAAGTCATCAGCGTTTCAACCGACGGACCGCCAAGATTTTAGCTCGTGCTGGCCCATGAGGAAGATGGTGTCGGCAGGAACGCCGCTATTCAGCAACCGTTAGCGCCACGCCGACGGCCCGCGGGCCAACGTAGGTGCCCAGGGCGGGGCCGAACCGGGCGGTCACGATTTCCTCTTCGGGCAGCAAGTCGCTCAGGCTGCTGCGAATCTCGGTTGCCCATTCCTGCTCCGTACTGTAGATCACGCCCAAGCGGACGGGCTGGCCCTTTTCGCGGGTCAATTCGATCAAGCGACGCATGGCTCGCTGATGGTTACGGGGCCGTTCCAGGGGGTGCACCTCGCCGTCAACCAGGGTCAGGATGGGCTTCACGCTCAACAGGGAACCCACGAAGGCCTGCGCCTTCCCTACGCGGCCACCTTTCTGCAGGTATTCCAAGGTATCCAATGCAAAAACGGCGGTAGTCCGGGACAAATCACGCCGCACCTCGTCGGCGACTTCCCGGTGGGAGCTTGACTGCCGGGCAGCGTCAACTGCGCCCAACACTTTCAGCGTAACCGCTATTGAAGCGCTGTGGGAATCGACGACTTCGATGGGGACGGAGTCTCCCAAACTTGCCTTTGCCTGCTCCGCCGAGTTGACGGTGCCGCTCAGCTTGCTGGAAACATGGATGGAGACAATCTCGTCTCCCTGTTCCAATATCTCCTGGTAAGCAGCCTGGAAGGTGCCGACGGAAGGCTGGGAGGTAGTGGGCAGGCGGGGGCCGGCAACGAGGCGCTGGTAAAATTCGTCAGCGGTCAGGTCAATGCCATCCCGATAATTGACATCGTCAATCACCACGTTGGCGGGCACTACGGTTACGCCCAGTTGCTCAGCCAGAGCGGGCGGCAGATCTGAAGTGCTGTCAGTTACTATTCGTATTGCCATTGAGCTACTCCACGGAAGCAAAGTAGGGATAATGGGGCTGCCCACCGAATACCAAGTCAACCTGGATTCCCGGGGTCTGCTCTTCAATTTTTTCGGCCACCGCCTGGGTGGTCTCCTCGTCGGTGTCGGCGCCCCAATACACCGTCACAATATGGTCGTCTGAAAGGCCCACTCCGGCCAACGTCGACAACAGGGCAGACTCTGCCGAAGCCTCCAGAACCGACAGCTTGCCTTCAACCAGTCCCATGTAGTCCCCTTCGGACACCGGAGTACCTTCAACGGTGGTGTCGCGAATTGCCCTGGTTACTTCGATGGAAACCACGGCAGCAACAGCATCGTTCATGGCCTGAAGGTTCTGCTCCGCCGTGACCTGGGGATTGAAAGCCAGAGCGGCGGCAATGCCCTGGGATACAGTGGAGGTTGGGATTACGTGGAGGTTCTGAGTTTCGTTCTCCCGCTCTGTTGCCTGGACAGCAGTAATTGCGACATTCTTATTGTTGGGCAGGAGAATGACGTCCTCTCCCCCAGAAGATTCCGCAGCGTTAATCAACTGGGCAACGCTGGGATTCATGGTCTGTCCGCCGCTGACCACTGAAGCGTTGGCAGTTTCGCGGAAAAGCTGCGCCAAGCCTTCTCCAGGGGCCACGGCTACCAGAGCAACGCCGGACTTCGGAGCATTCCTTCCCTGGTGCCCCGAAGCCCAGTCCTGGTTCTGGAGGCTCATGTTGTCAATCTTTATCTGGTCCAGTTCACCGAGGGATACACCGTAGGTAAGTGCAACACCCGGGTTTTCCACATGGACGTGCACCTTGATGAACCGGTCGTCTCCAATAATGACCAGGGACTCGGCGGTCTTTGCCAAGTCTGCCCGTACCTGCTCTATGTCCAGGCTTTCGCCCTGGATCATAGACTGGGTGCAGTAACCCCATTCGGACTCGACTGAGGAGTCCAGAAAGTCGCTCTCGACTGAAACGGACGAAAGCTGGGAAGGATCGATCTGGCCTGCGGAGGTCGCCAGTCCCAGGTCGGCATCTTCAACATCTTGGCCGGTCAGGTGCAGGTAGGCGCCACCCAGTATTACGACAATACCCATAGCCCCCGCATCGACAACCCCGGCTTCAGCCAGCTTGGGCAGCAAGGAGGGAGTGGAGTCCAGGGCTTCTCGGGATGCCTTGTATCCTGTCTCCCAAAACTCCAAAACGTCCCCGCCGCCCACCTTCCGCCTCCAAGCTCGATTCCAGAGCCTCGGCCACACAGCGAATGACCGTCAGCATGGTGCCTTCGACGGGATTGCCAACGGACTTATAGGCAGCCTCGGTAGCCGAGCGGAAAGCCTGGGCCAGTTCGCCGCTGCCGCATACTTCCTTGCCTTCCAGGCCCTGCGCTATGCCCTTGAAGAACTGGGACAGGATGACGCCGCTGTTTCCCCGCGCTTCCCAGAAGGTGCCGTCAGCTATTTGGGCAGCAACTTCACCGACAGTGGCCCCTTCAGAAACGGTAAGCTTGTCGACGCCGGCCCTCATAGTGAGCATCATATTGGTGCCGGTGTCCCCGTCGGGCACTGGATAAACGTTCAACGCATTAAGAGGGTCCCGGTACCGCTGCAACCAATTGAAACCGGCGGTGAGAGCCCCAGCCAACTCACTTCCACTTAGCACCTGCATGTTCGGCCGCCATTTACAAGTTTCGCATCATTAGTGATTCATTATATCGGCACACGGACTAATTTCAACTTGGAAAGGGTGCGACAGTACCGAGTTTTACGAGGTATGCCTGAAGCCTACATGAAACTAATGCACTCGCTGAAGTGTTGCTGGGTGACTGGTGAGGAGTCCCGAGCATTTCAAATTACATTATTCGCTTTCGTGACAGTGTGGAAGATCTCCCACGTCCTCCGGATTCCGTTTCTTGACGGTGTCCCGGCCCTGGCCTAGAATGAGCCAAGAGCCCTAATTTCACCCCATCTTAACGGTTGCCGCCAAAGCTGGCCCCGCTTCGAGTTGGCGCATCCCGGGTATAGGTATTGACGGATTCCGACGGCAATCCGAAACGTTATTCGGCCTCCTCCGATCGAATCATCTCCGGCGACTCCCAGCCGGACGACGCAAATACGGACGTTTCACTGCGCCCCCGGAGGCTGGGAGAATTCGTAGGTCAGGCCTCGGCAAAAAGACAACCTCGGCATCGGCATCCAGGCCGCCAAGATTATGGGAAAGCCTTTAGACCATATCATCCTCTACGGCCCCCCCGGTCTGGGCAAAACCACCCTGGCCCACATTATCGCCAACGAGATGGAGGTTAACATCAAGGTAACCTCCGGTCCGGCTATTGAACGTGCCGGCGATATGGCGGCCATCCTGACATCTCTCCAGCCCCATGACATCCTTTTCATCGATGAGATTCACCGGTTGCACCGAGTCGTCGAAGAGGTGATGTATTCCGCGATGGAGGACTTCTTTCTTTCGTGGATGGTGGGCAAAGGGCTGGCGGCACGGAATATTAACCTTAGGATCAATCCCTTCACCCTTATCGGGGCCACTACCCGATTTTCCATGATCAGTGCGCCGCTGCGGGACCGGTTCGGTTCCGTATTCAGGCTGGATTACTACGAACAGACGGACATGGAAGTGGTAGTGAAACGGTCGGCGGGAATCCTTGGAGTAACAACGGATACGGATGGCGTGTCCGAGGTGGCGGCAAGGTCCAGAGGTACGCCCCGAATCGCCAACCGTTTGCTGAAGCGGACTCGCGACTATGCGTTGGTGGTGGCCGACGACGAAATAACGGGCCAGGTGGCGCGCGAAGCACTGAACCGGCTGCGAGTAGACGGGGCTGGGGCTGGATGAGACGGACCACCGCCTGCTGACCAACATCATAGACAAGTTCAGTGGCGGCCCCGTGGGGCTGGAAACCCTGGCTGCGTCGCTGAGCGAGGATTCTGACACGGTGATGGAAGTCTGGGAGCCTTACCTGATGCAATTGGGGTTCCTGGAGCGTACACCCCGGGGCAGAATCACCACAAGACGCGCTTACGAACACCTGGGCCGCGAACTGCCCGGGTCCCTGGAAGATACTGACCAGGGGCGATTCACGGGGTTTTAGCTTGCATCCAATCCGTTCCTCGTCAAACGTACGCCCTTAAATGCCGATAAGTAATATGGCTCCAAAACTAACTTTCGATACAAAGGAGAAACGATGATTTACGAATTGCGAATCTACGATACCCTTCCCGGCCGTCTTCCGGCCCTCAACGAGCGCTTCGCCAACCACACCGTGGGGTTCTTCAAAAAGCACAACATCAACGTGGTTGGATTCTGGACCGAGGACATCGGAACCAGCAACCGGCTGGTCTATATGCTGGGCTACGACAGCCTGGCTGACCGCGAAGCGAAGTGGAGCGCCTTCCAGGCCGATCCCGGCTGGCACAAGGTAAGGGCGGAATCGGAAGTGGATGGACCAATTAATGCGCTGGTCCGCAACATGATTCTGCGGCCCACTGACTACTCCCCGATGCAGTAGTCGCTGGCGGCCAATTGCCATCCGCCAAGTGGTGAATCCGGCTGACAATGCTTCGCCACCCCTGGCCAGTGAATGAAGCGGTTGCTAGGGACACTGGCAACCGCTAGAATTAGCTTTCTATTTGAAGCCCACCTTCCTTCGGCGGTTCGCGATTGAATAACTTGGCAACGGGACTCACTTCTCAGGCAAGTGTCTTGCCAGACGCCCTGGACGGCGCCTACGCAGCAACGCTTGGCGCCAGCGAGTCGTTGGCTGCCAACCGGGGATTGTCTGACGAAGAGGCCTACCTGTTTGATGGTGGAACCTGCCCGCCTGTCGAGGAACTGTGCGCCCTGGCCTCCCAAATACGGGACAAGGGAAAGGGGAAAATCGTAACCTTCTCACCTAAAGTGTTCATACCCTTGACCCATTTGTGCCGGGACTTTTGCGGGTACTGCACTTTCCGGCACAGCCCTGACACGGCGCCCTCTCTTTACATGACTCCCGAAGAGGTTCTGGCGGTTGCCAAGGCCGGGGAACGACTGGGTTGCACCGAAGCCCTGTTCACCTTGGGAGAACGGCCAGAGCAGAGGTATCCAGAAGCTAGGCAGTGGCTTTCCGACCGAGGCTACGCCACTACGCTTGAATACCTCACCGAAATGTGCCGCTTGGTAATGGGAGATACGGGACTGATGCCCCACGCCAATCCGGGTACCATGAGCCGAAGGGAACTGGCGGCGCTGCAGCCCTACAACCCGTCCATGGGACTGATGCTCGAAAGCACCAGCCCGCGCCTCTACCAGGAGGGCGGACCCCACGAATTTGCTCCCAGCAAGCGGCCCAGGGTGCGCTTGCGGACCATGGAATTGGCCGGAGAATTGGGAATACCCTTCACCACTGGCCTCCTGATTGGGATTGGAGAGACTCGCCGGGAACGTATCGACGCTTTCCTGGAAATTCGGGCCCTGCACCGCACCTACGGCCACATTCAGGAAGTGATCGTGCAGAATTTCCGGGCCAAGCCGGCTACGCCCATGGAAGAGGCGGATGATGCCTCTGCTGATGAATTGCTCTGGACCGTAGCTGTGGGCCGAATTTTGCTGGGGCCCGACGTGAACCTGCAGGTGCCCCCGAATTTGAGCGCAAGTGACTATCCTGCATATCTCGACGCGGGAATCAACGATTGGGGCGGCGTATCTCCCCTGACCATCGACTTTGTTAATCCAGAAGCTCCCTGGCCGGCCTTGCCAGACTTGCAGCGGAACACCCGTGACAAGGGGTTTGAACTAAAGCCTCGCCTGCCGGTTTACCCCGAATACTTTATGGGTGCAATGCAATGGCTACCCGAACCTCTTCGAGCCAAGGCTACTTCCCTGGCCGACGAGGACGGTTACGTTAAAGGAGGAATGGAGCGGTATGCCGGAAGAAACTGATCGCAACACCGCCGAGACCACCGCAGCCAAAGGCCTGTACGGCCTGATTGGCCAGCTTGAACCGGCGGTGGCCCGCATCCTGGACAACGCCCTTGAAGGCGGGGACATCGGCGTTGAAGACGCCGTCGCTCTGTTTGACACCACGGGCGCCGAGTTTGCCGCCGTGGGAATGGTGGCCGACGAACTACGCCGTCGCACGGTAGGAGACCTCGTTACCTACGTGGTTAACCGCAACATCAACTTTACAAACGTGTGCATAAAACGTTGCGGGTTCTGCGCCTTCAGCCGGGATTTCCGGG